TGTGCTCCTGGAACACGATCAGTGATCTCTGACGACAGATAGGAAGGGCCACAAATCCCGTTGACATGTTTTGGCACAGCTTCGTTGTGTTCAGCAGAGCTACGCCAGCCAATACAGGCTGACTTGTGATCGCTATATACAAAATAGAAAATCCTCTATCTTATATAATGGCCTGGCTATGTTTCCCTGCCTCAGCAGTTCACTAATATTTACTGACTCATTTCCCCTGCCAGTCCTTCCAACACCTTCCTCTGGTCCAGAAGAGCGTGCTCATACTAAGGTCAAGGCCACCAGCAGGAAAAGTCATCACACCCCTGCAAACCAAAAACTGGGAGCGACTCAGGATGAGGGTTTAGTTACACAAAAACCAGAAGCGTTCCCCAGGGCAGTCTGCAGAGCGGGACAGAAACCCCCAGCTCGGGGCATCAGCCACCCCACCGGAGCTGGGCAGAGCTGCCCCGTTTGCCCCAGTCCAGGCTGGGGATGCTCATCCAGCCCTGCTAGACTGGCACCGGCTGGAAACGGCTAGCAGGAGGCCCACTGCCACACTTCAGCCACCTAACCAGGTGGCTGCTCTTCGGCAGCTCTCAGGGGCTTCAGATGATTCACAGAGCAACATAACTTGAGTTTCTGCCCCAAGCCACCTCCTGGAAGAGCCCCTGACTGTGCAGAGGGCCCACAGAGATCAGCTCCCTGTTGCTCATGTTGCACTTGAGATATATGAACACCCATTTTTTCTGTCCCAGAAACTTAAGGTTACAGCATGGTCCTGCTTTTAAAGTTGACAGTATTCAGCCAGACCTGAATGGCTGAACAGAGACAAAGCCCCACACACCAGAAACACGTGTCTCCCTGTGAAAGTGTAACACAGAAGGTGGAACATTTATATTTTCAGCATCACAAGAGTATTAAAAAGACTTATAAGAAATCAAATATCAAAATAAAGATGTTAGAATGCAAGCTCCAGAAAGGCACTCAGAAATCCAACACATGCTTCCTTGTGAGCTTATGCCAGGTATGATCAGGACAACCCTAGGCCCTGGAACCTGAACCCTCTCTGCCATGAGCATCAGTTCCATGCTACCATGCCAGCAATGCTCTTACATTCTACTCATTCCCTCCTGCCATGCCAAAATTTCTAGTAAGGTGGTTTTAAGCCAGTCATGATCCTCCCTGAAGCAGAACATGTATCTTGCCCAAGTTGCTCACCAGCCAAAGGCCACGATCCACCTCAAAACCCCACCGACAGTGTCCTGGGTTGAGTGAGTGGTGGAGTTTTCTGGTGGCAGGGGAGGGGGGCTATCAGGGCGGCCCCCTGTGAGAAGCTTCTCGAAGCTCCCCCAGCTCCAAGTCAGCTCCACTTCTCTTTGGGAAATTGAGCCAATCGGCTGCGCCTCTGCGATAATGTATTTAAGAAGGGACGTGGTGACGGGCAGTCAGACTTGTGAGGAGGAGTTGCTACAGCTGCATGAACACCAAGGTCAGTGGAGGAACGGAGGAAGAAAGGAGGGGGGAGGTGTGCCAGAGCAGAGACCCCCCTGTATCCTGTGGTGAGACGGCAGGGCGGCCTCACCCTGCCACCCATGAAGATCTACGATGGAGCAGACATTGATTTATGGCCTGTGGCTCCTGCTCAGATGATCAAGGTTCTGTACCTGAAGAAGGCCGGGGTCTCATGGGAAAAGGTAGCCCCGCTGCTGTAATTCAACGCTGGGAGGATTGCAGCATGCAGGGGTGTCCCACGCAGGAGCAGCTCGGGAAGGGCTGCAGCCGTGGGAGGGAATCCAGTCGGAGAAAGTTGGTGACCCACAACGGAGCAGTGTGGGGAACGCTGCGGCCCATGGGAGGAATTCATGTCGGAGAAAGTTTGTGGAGGACTGTCTCCTGTGAGAGGGGGACCACGATGGAGCAGGAGGAACAAGTTCCGGACACTCCCCTCACCGAAGATGAAGGAAGTGGCAGAGCTGACTGCACTCCCATTCCCTGCCGCTGCGCCACTGGGGGAGGAGGTAGAGATATCGGGAGCAGAGCTGAGCCCGGGAAGAAGGGAGGGGTGGGGGAAGGTGTTCTCAAGATGTGGCAATGCTTCTCACTGTCCTACTCTGTTATGTGTTGTTAGTGTCTGTAATAAATGTATGCTCTTTTTTTTCTTCCCCTAATGAGTCTGCCTCTTGCTCGTGATCATAAAGGGGAAATTTTTCCCCATCCCAGTCCTATCTCGAACCCCAAGCCTGGCTCTCTGTCCCTTCTCATTGCCGGAGGGGAAGGGAAAGAGAGCAGCTGCATTGTGGTTGGCTGCCAACCAGGCCTAAACCACGACAGACATCTTGGCAGCAATTGCTGACAAATTTTTAGAGTTGGTGTCATTTTGCTTTCGCAGACAGCACCAGGGCTGGCTGTCCCCAGGAGCTGTTAAAACACACAAGCTGTCTGTCACAGAAATATTATTTAAGATGCTGTGAGTCCTCGGGGTCTGGAGTTGGCTGGCAATTCCTCGGACAGTTGAGCAGCACCGGAGCAGAGGTGGGAGTGGGTTTGCAGTTAACCAGCGCATTGCTGGCCTCCATTTGCACCTTTGTGCCCTTCCTGCTAAAATACCATTTAACTGATCATGTCACCCACATTCTCGCTTTGAAATATAAAGGTTAGTGGATGGAAGCAAGGGAAAAGCAAGGACTTTGCAACTTGTTCTTCAGTTTACACTCCAGCTGCAAAATACCTACTAGCTTTCCTACTCTTGGGAATAATACACAGAAAACATGTAAACAAGACCCAGTTAAAAGAGAACAACAGGAACTACTGACGTCTGCGCGACAAGAAAACAAACACCAATGGCTTGCCCAGCACATTGGCAGCAAATTCGACATTAGTAGGGAGAGTCAAAGTATTTTGTCTCCAAAAGAGCTGGACCTCCCTCTCTCTTTTATTCAGACCGACTCTGCGGTGAGCTGCCCAGCGCCAACCGTTGCCCGGCCGCTGAGTGCTGCGCCCGAGGATGAGGATGGTGAGTTAAGAGCGTGCCCTGAGCAGATTTATTTCCTTTTCTGTGCTTCCTTCCTGGCTGGAATTACTCACTTCCTCAGCAGGAAAAATCATTACAGAACACACTTTTTCTGAGTTCATCTGAGGTTATTATCTGCTCGCTGACAGTGGGTTATTAGGCACCCATGGTGTTTCCTCCAGCACAGTGGGGTTGCTCTCCTGTGTTGCAGGCTTTTGAATAGGAAGAATAAAATTGGTTGCTAGACACACCTTTTTTTTTAGAAAAAAAAAAAAAACCTTTGCTTCAAGCATCAAAGCGCACGGAAGGTATAGGCAGCCTCTTTACAGAACAAAAGATGCCTAGCTGTGGGAGACATTTTCCTATATTGTAGGTCAATTACAGTCAAAATCGCCTTTACAATGGCGTTGGACACGGCTAGCTTTCATTGCCTCGATGGTGAGGCAGGTCAGATCTCAAATGCTTTGTTGGTTCGCCTGCCTATTACCTAAAAAGAAAGCTGCTTTTCTGCAGCAAGGGTAGGAGTGCACCTCCGAAGTCTAATTCAGAAAAGATCAGAGCTCCATTATGCAACTAGGCAGAGGATTAATAATATATCACAGGGAGCGTTTGTGATTCTGCTGTGATGGCGACATTTATTTCTACACATACGCTCAGATAAGCCTTTGTTTGATTCAAGAGAAGATTTCGCTTTGCTCTCAACATCCCAAAAGCAAAATTTAAAGTTAAATATTTCCCCAGCTGGATGTGGCTACAGTGTTCAGGGGAAGGAGCCAGGAGCTAGGCAGCATCTGCCTCCCATGTCTGGTAGGGCAGCCTGGAGGGGGAGGCGGGAATGTGGGGCCCAGGAGGATAATGCTGCCTCTGTCTTCTGCAATAATAGCATAAAATCATCTTATATACTAATATTTGCACATCCCTAGCCTGAGTCACGTGCAAAACTGAATACATATTGCAGCCTCCCCGCACAGCTGGGAAGTAGATACTTCCATGCCTGTTTTGCAGAGAATTACACTAGAGCAAACACAAAAGAGGAGGAGAGCCAGCCACGGAATCCAAAAGTCCCAAGTTCTGGGTCTCTGCTTCAAACCTGACGGGTGCCATCACTCCACCGTGCTGGCGGTTTGCCGAGGCTGACACTGCAGCATCCCTTGCTGGATCCCACCGGGCCTGAACCCCAACGCTCTCCCCATGGCTGAAGGGCGAAGGGGAGGACCGCCAGGATCTTCAAGCTCTGCCAGGGGTATCTCAAGCTCAGCGAGTCTTAAAAATGACAGATGTAGTACGTGACACCCAGACCTTTGAAAGCAGTTGAGGAGTCTTCCCGCTTTACACGTAACTTGATGGATGAGTCCCGCTCCCCGCCGCAGCTCGGGGTGAGGAGCGGGGACTGGCCAGGGCCACCCCCCAGCAAGTGACCACCCACCACCAGCCAAAATTCCCAGTTGCCCGGAGCCCCAGCTCTCTGCCAGCATGCAAGGCCGCCTCGACCGGGGCAGCAGCTCTCACAAATGATGAGTAAGAGCAACTACCCAGCAAATTAACCATCGCCGGCACGTCCAGTCACACACAGAGCAATTACTGGCTTTTACAATGAAAAGTCCGCTCAGGGCTTGGATTACAGCTCTCCAGAGCTTCTGCCAGCAACACCATTTGAAACATCGGTTTGGGCTCCATTTTAAAGGTTGAGTAGCATTTGGCAACTGGATAAATGAACGTGACTCTGAAAACCCTCTCACGCTGTGAGGAGGAAGTTCTCCAAAAACAGAAAGCAACACACAACACTTCCTGGGAAGCCAGAGAGAAATCCTTCTGACACACAGTTAAAATAAATAAAAATAAAAAAACAGAAGCAAACAACAAAAAAAAAACAGTTCTTTTAAAAGGCATTTTTATAGTATTTTCTGCAGGCGCAGGACTTGAAATGAGCACCCTCAGCCAAAAAACCAACACCGAGAGCAGCAAATGAAGAATCTCGTTCAAACAGTGCGATACTTACGGTGGAGGCAGCCAGCATCCCCTCCGAGCTGGGACCATCCCGGGCAACACCTGTAGGCGGTCTGGGATCTCACCCTGTACGCCTGTCTGTACCCCGTGTAATACACAGTTCTGAAACACAGCAAAGCAAGATACCACCCGGACAAGGTTAATTCCTGCAGAACGAGGAAATGGGGAAGAACAGAAGTTGTAACTCTAACTGGGGATGTAAATAAAATGAAGGATTTGGTTTTCAAATGTGCTGACATTTTTTTCCACCTGGTCTAGCAACAATAGCTGATACTAAGAAAATACTTCTTAATTTACTCTAATCGGGAACTCGAGAGGTATGTCCAGGGCCTCACAACACCCCTGGTTCTTTTCTCCCTTTCTAAACTATTTCACAGCTCTGAGCTCACCTCTTAAACTACCTGTTAACAAAGGTAATTTAAATTTTAAGAACAACAGGTATTTCAGTCCAGCTTTAGTGAACATGAGCAGGTGTCTCCAAGGGGCTGGTCAGCTAAAAAACCATCAGAAACCTGATGGGAATATTCAGCTACTCAAAAATCTCTCCATGCAGCCGTGTTTTAAATAGTGAGGCTTCGACGGGTGCAGGCGGGCAGAGCCATTCCCCGACGGGAAGGGCTTTTGCCTCCTTGGTTCTTCCTTCCCACAGCAACCCCTGACTCCGCACCGATGAGCCCAGCGCTGCGGCCACGCCACACGCCTGACCACATCTGTCCCCTCTCCCAGAGGAAGCAAACAGAACCCCCCAGACCCCCCAGGCCCCCCAGAAGCTCTGAAAGGGGATGCTGTGCCCGGGGGGAAGCTGCAGGTCCCTCTATCAACTCCCACCGGTCACCTCTGAGGTGGGAGCGGGGGCAGTCAAGCAGGGATTGGTCTGAAGCATAAATAAATAAAAGCGACACTTCTTTCCTGGAAATTTGATGTTGTGTATATATGAAAATTGAAACACAGAGAAAACTTTTGAAGCTGATTTTTAAAAAGCTCCTTTGGCAGAACATGAAACTACTCCACCAAAGCAAATTGGACAAACAACAACAAATATTTGGCACAGCAGATGTGTTGTACATGTCCATTGAAAATATTTATCCTAACTCAGTCTAGTTGTTTGATTTTGTCTGAATGTTTCTACAAAAACCCCTAAGTAATGGTGAACCATTAATTCCCCTGAAGGAAACCTTCGGCTACTCTTCTGTGCCAACCAGCATATGGAAGCACAGCTGAGAAAAATAAAAGCAGATACCAATTTTTTTTGTATGAGCTGTTAACAAATTATGAAGGAAATACTCGTGTTCCAGAAGCAGCTGAGAAAGCAATTTGCAGTCACTCAGGCACCAGCCCAGCTAGCAATCAGGCGCAGATCCATCTGGATCCTCTCGGTATCAAGAGCTATCTCCCAGCCCCGCTTCAGCACGGTGGCAGGGTGCGGTAGGAAGCACAGGAGGACACGATGGGTGCAGGGTGCTGCTAACGCAACAAGCATTCGCCGCATGGGCCGCTCTGGAAAGCGCCGTCCTCTTCAGCCGAAACGAGACAGGCTGCATGGCAGCAAGCAGCCTCTTCCACCTGCCCTGCACAGGCTCAGAAATAAGGAAGAAAAGGTAATCCGAGAAGTGGCAAGGTAGGACAGCTCAGGACTAATCCCAGGCTCCTTTCTGCTCCCAGCAGCGGCCCGAGCAAGCTCGTCCCACGACTCTCGGGGGGCTCTATCAGACACTTCCCATCCTTAGGTCAGCCCAAGTGGGTTCTCAAGGAGATGCAAATATTTGGACAGCCTCAGTTGCCCGTGGATATCTGGATGCTGCAGGCTGGAAAGAACCATGCAAGAGATACTTTATCTTCAATGTTTCTGTTTTCTTTTGCGTTTTAAGGAGTCCCTGGCACAGAAAATGTTGAATGAGCCAGAACTAATGGAACCCAGGCTTAAAAATCCTACTGTGTCCTGCTCCTGGAAAATCTACTTCCAGCCCCTCTGGGATAGCGCCGTCATTCCTCCAAGTTTCATTAGCAAGGGCTGAGCAAAGCTACCTTCTGCCATTACCGAATTCGGGAAGGTTACACGACCAGTAGCAAGAGCATCACGTTACCAGGACCAGCGAGCAGCCCCGTGCCGGGGACGCTCGGTTCATCTGCTGGGGAGCAGACACTGGCACTTCAGAGCAGGGCCCGTGTCCTGGGGACTGCAGAGCAAGGTTTCTTCTGATTTTTAGGAAATGTTGTAATCCAGTACACTAGGCACAGATACGAGTCTTATAAAAACAAATGCTACTGATTTCGGAAGGCACAAACTCAGCAGACAAGCACCCTGTCCCCTGCCCATCCCAGCCCACCCCCCCTCCTCTACTCACCTCCCCTAAACTGCACTTTGAGTTCAGGCAAATGGATGGGACTGTACCAGTACATGCAGTGTCCCAGGCGTGCCCAGGAATTTTAGGAAAATTGATAAAGCTTATGAATTTGTGCTTCATCCCCTGCAGCCCCTGGCCCGCGCGGGCGGGTGGGCTTGGCAGTAGCCCCGACCACTGCACCAGGAGAGGAAGAGCAGATGCTGGATTTTCCTAGTCGCGGCCATGAGCTCAGCGGCACCGAGGCCAATTTCAGGCCATCCCTGTGTGTGTGTCAGATCCTGAGGCTGTGAATATGCTTCCTGAGCCCCGCGCTGCCAGAGCTGGGTCCAACTGGAGCGGCTCCAGTGAGCGAGACGGAGGCTGCGGAGCATCCCTGGGAACACCAGCACTGCACGCTCCGCTGCCCTCAATTGCTCAGCACAAGGGAGCTTGGCAGCAGATCTTCCATCTATTGGCATAAGCTTGATGCAATGGGAACTCCAAAAAGCAGTTTAGAGTGAGGGGATATGGGACAAAATCTTGCCTGAGGGAAGATCTGCTCATAGTCCTTTTACTGTCTTGCTTTTAAAATTCCTTGGGTAAAATCCCTGATGGCACCTCTAGGCTTCACCTGTTTTCATCAGGAACGGAGTTTTAGCCCTAGGCTGTTCTGATATTTGTAATGAAGCACAACAGAAAGTTTTTTCATTTCAGTTCCTTGATTTACAATGTCAAAAACCTACATTAAAGAACGAAAGGGACAGCTGGGTCTGAAGAGTTCCCAGGCTTTGAAGTAGAAGCAGACAGGGCACCTACCATTTCAAAGTCCTCTCTTAAAACACAGTCAAAAGATGGACTCTGTTTGCTCCTTTATTACCACTACACAGATATCATCACCAAGATAATTACTGGCAATTACAGCTTAGGAGGAATTCCTAAAGTCAAAACTTAAAAGCTGTCTCTAGTCCAAGATGCTTCTTTGAAACTACTGTTATCATTATTATTTTGTAAAGGCTTGTAACTGCCTAATGAGGCCGGAAAAGCAGGTCGAGTACAGAAGATTGGGCAGACTGTAGCTTGGCCACTGTGTAGGTAAGAAAAGATCATTATTTGCCCTGTTGCACATGTTCGTAGCCCTCCCTCTGCAAGCCCTCCTTGCTTGGTCTCCCAGCTCCCAGTAAAGCCCAGTCAGTGGCTCATGGGATACTACAATTAGCCAAACCACTGGGTTTCTGCTCAGAGTACACTCAAACTCCTTCCTTGCGTGTGTGAGCCCGGCTCTGCAGAGCTGTACACCCTTCTGCCACGGGCCATGCGAGGGGGAGCCGAGGACCCTGCAGCAAAGCCTGCTAAACCACCACTGCCACAGCCACCCGTCCTCACAGAGCACCACTTGCAAGATGGGCACTTCTATTATTTTGGTTTTTTTCTTTTTTTTAGACCATGTGCAATAAACCTCACTTGGACCCTGCTACAGCCTTCAGCTCCGTGGAACTCCAGAGGCATTGAGATGTCTCTGCTCTGAAGCCGAGACATCTAAAGATGCAGGAACAATGCACGTGATGTGATTGAGGCATTTCATTAACATGGCATGATCATAGGAAACAGGTGTAATACGTCGTCAGAAGACTGGAAACAGCTAACCACAAGGACACAGCTTCTTTAGAACAAGATGTATCTTTTCTCCGGGAATTCCTTAACAGTTTTGACACCCTTAGCACCATGAAGATGCCAGGGATGGTCAGAAACCCCCCCCGCTAGACGCACACGGGGTTTACAAATCTGTCAGAGTCTCCTGGTCTTAGCCAAGGCAAATATCTAATAAAATAGCTCTACTCTTTGCAGCTAGTTTGCGCGTTTGGAGCCACATGTCTGTGCAGGCAGCTCTCCGTTCACACCAACCCCTGATCTGCATCGTTACCCCAGCGCCAGACGCGCTGCAGCACCGAGGGCCGGGCGCTTCCCCCTCTCTGCCGGGGCCCAGGGCAGCCTCGGCCGCCTCGGCCGGCCGCACAGACCCCTCAGAGGGTCCCGCCAGCTGCCGAGGCTGGTCCCAGGGCCGGGCCACGGCCAGGCTGCCGGCGCGATGGGCTCTCCCCTCGGCGGGCACAAAGCGAGCAGCAAGCTCGCCTCCCCGCTGCCGCTGGCGAGGAGGAATCGGCGTTCAGCACACGAGGAGCAAACAGAGCTCGAGGGAAGGGCACGTACCTCCGCTCGTAGCCCGCGCACCACCGCCGTCCTCCGCAGTCCTGCTTCCACACCTTGACGGTGCGGGCGAAGGCCTGGACGCACGGCTGCCGGTGCCCCACGATCGCCAGCTCCCGCTCCGCGCAGACGTTCGCCCTGGCACAGAGAAACAGAGGTGCAGGGGGGGGATCTGCAGCACTTCCACCGCTGAAACAGGCGCCCGCGAGGAGCAGCTTCATTTCCTTACTGAGGGAGCAGGAAGACCCCGTGCAATGTACAGGAGTTGCCTCCTCATCTAATTAAATTGGTGCAGGGAAAAGAAATCTGGAAGGCCAGCCAGCCACAAGCAGTTGTCAAGTGCAACCTAACGACCCCCCCAAAACGCTTGGCTGTGACACCCTTGGGAACAGAAAGTGTGTTAACAGCAGGGCTCTCGCAGCAGCGAAACACACAGCACCGCAATTCCACCCGTGTTTCCCAGAAGCATGTCATTAGCCTCCGTTAAACGCTGGGGAGCTGCAAGGTGAACAACACAAACCCCTATTTACAGATGGCAAGTGGCCACACAGGGAGCGGAGGCGTTGAGTAATCCCATGCTGCGAGCCGGTGGCAGGCACGGGAAGCAACAGAAATCTCAAGCACTACGGTTTTATAACATTGCAACCCTGCAAACTTCAGTGAGATTGGGAAGCTGCTGACATTCCGTACCTCTAGGTCCTGGGATGCTCCACAGCCCACTTGAAAAATGCAGCAGTTGCTTTTCCACTGACAGATTAAAGCTAATTTTTAGCCTTGAAACAGAGAGGAAGGATCAGAAAAGAGGCAGCAGCCTATATGATACGGTAGCACAATAACTTCTATGTTTGTCCATTCTGACCACTCTCAGTTAACAAAGAATGCATATGCTTTCTTGGCACCTAGGGGGTTACTTTCCTGACTATTGTCACTGCAAACACCAATGATATCTGCATCTTCTGGCAGCGCTTGGGAAAAAATAATATGCTGCCACTAGAAACAATACATCATTTTGCTAATACCACTTTAAATCAGAATTCAGCTTGCTGTCTTAGACGCTTTCTCATTCATTCACAGCTAAGGGCTGCAAGACTAGTTCCAGTAAATAAAGTGAATATATATAATTCAGTGAATGAGAAAATAAGGAAAATACCATTTGCACTTTATTTCTTTTCTAATCCAAACTCTCCTTCACCAAATATGACTCGGTGGCTTTAACTAAGAATGCAGAGGGAAACATTCACCCCTGACTTAATAAGCTATGAGCCATTCGTTATCTGGGACTGCTTCTGTTGCTTCCAATTCTTCAAAAGGGACAGAATGTTTTCACAAAAATGCTTTCTATAAAAGAGGCTAAGCTAAATAATTTGGACGTGGTGAAGCGTAGAGATTGCAGCTGGCATCTGACTGCTCCAGGACGTTCAATTACACCGCTGTTACAGCAAGCCTGGCAATGCCTTTGGGATTAATGGCATGTTTCCTTCCCCCTCCAGCTTTGCTCGAAAATTGCCTCTCGTCATCCCCACGTGTGGCCACCGCCGAGCTGCTTGGCTTTGCAAAGCTCCGCACACATCACTTCACCAGCACAACAGTCCCCAGCGCTAATGGCAGCTGCCAGAGATGCTGTTTTATTTCCTGAGTGGCTCCATACGCCCAGAGCTGCGAGTTGATGCCGGGCGGTGTTTCCCTGCCCCCCGGCACCTCACCCCGAGCCGCCCGCACGTCCGCAGCCAGGATGGAAAGGAGCCGCCAGGACAAGGAGGGAGCAGCCCCGGTTTGGTGTCATTTATCACAGCGAAGAAACATTCTTGTGTGCCCCGGGGGGTGGCTGTGTGTGTAATGGGCATCGCCAGCAACGCCCCGTGGGAAGTGACAGCGCTGCCCAGGCGCTGGCGGTTTCTTTTCTCTGCCGCTTTGGCACGCATCTCATCTCCAGTGTCTCGTCCCAGCAGTCCTAAAAGTGCTTGTCAAGGCAGGAGCACAAAATCTCTGACATAGAGAGAAAAGGCATCTCCTCGCAAAACCTTTATCTGCCTAAAAGGACGCCTTTTCAATCAACAAGTTAAAAACATCAGGGAGAGTAGTTTGGACTTAGCACACCATGCAACACTGGGTTCATTTACAAAAAGAATTAGGGCAATCCCCCTGCATCAAGAGACCATCTTCTGGCAGGAGATCAAATCTGCAAGGAAGTTTTCCAAAGAAGCCAAATGATTAACACCAAACTGCCACTCCAAAAGTCAACTAAAAGGAATGGACTATGTGCTGCTAGAGTAACAGCAAAAGGGGGAAAGAAACATGCAATGAGAAAGATATGTGAAGTGCAATAAAAATAGCAGGTCTGTGAAGAAAGGTCAAACTCTTTACACAACAATCACCTATTGCGCTCACACAATAGCAACATTTCAGTTAAAAACAGAGTGTTACCTCCTACAAGCAAAGACTATCCAGATTTTCAAGTTTGTATTCCCCTTTACGTGCATCTGGTACTAGATAAAGAAACACAGAGCAGCCCTCCCTCCCCTTCACTCCCTCTGTTCCTCCCTTCACCCTTGATTTTAAAATACTGTATTTAGCTTCTGCTTTACAGTTCCCTGCCCTATAAAAACACTCCAGTACTCTTTTCTTGCTACTTACATATGGGGCTGAAGTTTGTTCCCAGAAGCAAGAGAAGACATTCGCAATGCAAGGATGAGTGAGAGTGCCATCGCACAAAACTCCATCTCAACAGCTCCTCTCTCCCCCCCAAGGTGTTTCCAGCAGGCGCCTACAAAACCTCACCGCCCTCTCCGGCACGACTTGCGAGTTCCTGCTCCAGGAGGACGCTCCTGGCTCCCTCCTGTTCCCGGTGTGCCCGTGTCTCTCTCTTGCAAAGGACAATGCTCTCGGAGCACACGGGAATTCTTGCACGGGGAGAGCAGACTTATCATTCCGAGATGCTTCCTCCCATATGGATTCAGTTCAGCAAGTTTCTTCCGTCCGTGGGAAATGATTATAGTACAGACTGTCGCTGGGTTTTTCCCAAAACCAAACCTGGTTTCTTATGCTCATTTGCTCGCAGTGAAATGCACTGAAGTGACTTTTCCTTCTGGCATTTGCTTCCTGACAAAGCCCAAAGACCTGGTGGCTCACAAGACCTGGGTTCTGTCCAGCAATGAAGCCCCATGGGGGTTTAGCTGAGTTGGAGTTGCGATCCCCTTCACAAGGCAGTATAAAAATCAGCACCCAGCAAAGGAAAGGAAAAAGGAGGGGTGCTCTCCGGCACACTGCGAAGTTCACCTCCCAGAGGGCTCTTCTAAAAGCAGACAGAGTGCTCGTTTATCCCATCTGCATGGGTGAAGCCATCCTCCTGCTCCAGCTCCCCACCTTCCTCCAGAGAGGGGATGGAGCAACTCCTGCACACACGCACACCAAGAGCAGCTTCCCCGCCTTTCAAGGGAGTAACAAAACTTTCCTCCTGCCTTTCCCAGGTCTAGCTCCTTTCCCTCACATGCTCTCTTGTTTCTTTTCTTGCTGACAGCCAGAAATCCCTCCCACCAGCTGTGTCCAACCCTGACGAGAGGAGGGGGGAAACCCTGCAGAACAGTAGCAGAAATGATTCGGGTTTGTTTCTCAAAGGATGGCTCTTTTGCACTACCCAAGGCCAACTCCTTGCACACCACCCAAAAGCACTTTCCCAGCAGCTCTAAAAATATCCCACAGAGATATAATCTTTCCAATGCACTCTAACAGATAACAAAATTGATCACTTCCCAAGGAAATTCTGCTGTGTATGTAAAAGGGACAGGGACACATCTGACCTGCACTCAGCTGCTAGAGCGCTGTTAAATGACCAGTTCCTGGGGTGGCAGGGGAATATACTGGGCAAAGAGGGAGTTGGGGAACATGATTAAATTGCTACCTGACTTTTCCCACCACTGTCTACTACGTGGGGAATCAGCACAGAAAGAGGCATTGATAAGGATTTTGCTGAAGCTGTGTGACGGTCCCCCGGGCCCCTGTGAAATGAGAAAATGAAGAGAGAAGTGCCCAAGCCTACTTCTCAGAGGGTTCACTGCTAAGCTTCCTCTTCCAAAAAGCTGCCCCAAGGACCAGCAGTTGTTACTGCCAGTCCTGGCAGCAACAGTGAGGATCGAGGAGCTTGCAGGGGGGCTGAGCTGTCTCCTGCCCTCCTTGCTGGAAGGATGGGCGCACGGCGGCCGGTGCCGCAGGGTGAGGGAGAGCGGAGCAGGGATGCTGCACAAAAACTCAAGAACCTGTCAGCAAACTCCGGCCAAGGGCGAGGAGGAATCGAAACTGCAGCTGGGCACTGCTCCCTGCCCCGGGGCGGCCCCAGGCAGAGCCGACCTTCAGCAAATACTAATTTCTGTGGGAGAAGTAGGATAAGAAGGTTTGGGTAGTTTCAGTGCCAGTGCCATGCACATATTTTGCCACTGCAAGACAACCATTCCATCAGGACTAAAGTCACCAACGAGCCATGCCCAGAAGTTGGTAGCTCCTGGAAGAAACGGAGGCAGCTGCTTTTTACACCTTAATGCTTCCAAAGTCACAGCAGCTGCAGAAATTATTTAGGTCAGAGAAAAGAGCAGGTAAGAAGAGCTAATGCTTCCGCTTAGAAGTAAAGCATCTGCCAAGGCTAACAGCTGGGAAGACATCTTTCATTCTTCCTAGGAAAGACAGGCAACTACATAAAGTTGATTTATAATGATGGAGAGAGCTTCAGGACAAAATAAATTCAGGCCTCTGTTTTCCTGTCAGGACTTTAAAAGTTAGGATGTTTCTTACAGTAAGACTGCTCCCAGTTAGTCTTTCAGAGCTGAATTACTTCTGCTACCCAGAAGGTTTGGCAGCACTTAGCTGATCCTCTGTTTGGGCCCCGCTTTGGCGAACACAGCGCTGGGTACGTGGTACCTGGATGTGGAAGATGTTCCGGTGGAAGCTCCGGGCACGGCGAGGCCGCGGTGGGTGCCAGCCCGAGCAGCTGCCCGCTGGCAGGGCAGGGCAAGGGCAGCGTGGAGCCGGGCTCCCTCGCCAGGACAGGGATCGCTCCCGGGCCAGCCACGGCTCCCACTGCATCCCGGGTGGCAATCCTGGCTGCCACACGGGCAGGAGGCACCCGACCGGGCTGGCTGCAGGGTGCAGAGGAGGCTCCGGTGGGAAAAGCTGAGTTTGGAGCACGGTGTGCGAAGTCCCCGAGTGTAACGCCGGCTCTGCAATTCTTTTGCAAGTCACTTTGAAGAAAGCCATGAGGCTTCCCGTTTCAACAGGCTGATGAGGGCTGCAGGGAGTACAGCAGAGAAGTGAATACATGCGAAAGATGGACATTTAAAATCCAGTACTGTCTGTGAAATCGGTTTAATATGCTTTCAATTTTGTACCATTTCCCAGCACAGCTGTCTGCTGAAGACGTCATCCTCTGGCTCAGGGTACAACAGACCTGGAAGGTGGTCAAAGATATAATGCAGTTCCATAACCAGTGATGATAGTATCTGCAATAACACCAGAGACCGCAGAAATACAGATATTGACTTGCCATTCATTCCCTAGCATCATTTAATCTTTGCTATCCAGTACGCTGAACACGGCACAGGCTTTAGGGCTCTAAACCCGCAGTTCTGCCTCACCCTGTCACCTCCCTGTGCTTCATCGGCCACATCACACCGGGAAGCTTTGACCAGATAGTATTTAAGGACTTTGTGCATCTGACCCAGATTTGCTTCACAGTAGCTCTGCTCGCTCCCCGCAGATCCACAAATCTCATTTTTCTGTCGGTATATCAGACTCTGTCCAGGCTCCCTGAGCAGAACAGCACATTCATGTCGCCCAAGCCCAGGGCTGCCAGGGCACACGTGGGCATCCCCTCCTCGCCAAAAAATCCACGGTGGAACTGGGACAGACCTTGCTCAGCCCCGGGGGTGCAGGGGGGACAGACTGGGGGTGCAGGGGCTCAAACTTGGGGGTGCAGGGGACAGACAGGGGAGTGAGTGCAGGGGGGACAGCCCCGGGGTTGCGGGGAGCCGGCGCGGAGCGGAGCGAGAGGAGGGAGCGAGAGGAGGACAAGGAGGCGGGAGGAGGAGGCGGGAGAAGGAGCGGGAGGAGGAGGAGGAGGCGGGAGGAGGAGGAAGGCGGGAGGAGGAGGAGGAAGGCGGGAGGAGGAGGAGGAGGAAGGCGGGAGGAGGAGGAGGAAGGCGGGAGGAGGAGGAGGAAGGCGGGAGGAGGCGGCCCGGCGGCCGCAGCTCCCGGCCCGCCCCGGAAGGCGGCGAACGCCCGGCCTGGCCCCGCCGCGATGCTGCAGCTCCGGGAGGCGGAGGAGGCCGGCCCGGGCGGCAGCCCCGGGGCCGCGCTGCTGGAAGCGGGGGGGGCCGGGCCGCCCCCCCAGCCCCCGGCCCGCCGGACCCTGCGGCCGCTCAGCCTGCGCCCCGCCGCCCGCCTCCGCCACTACTTCGTGTTCCGGGTACGGCCCCGCCGCCGGGCCGGGCCGGGCCGGGCCGGGGGCCCCCCCGCAGCCCCCCGGTAACATCTCCCCCTTCTCCCCGTCTAGCCCGGCACCGTAGAGCAAGCGGTGAGCGAGATCCGCGCCGTCGTGCTGCCCGCCGGGGACGGGGAGGTGCGGAGCGTCTGGCTGCTCGTCGAGTAAGTGCCGGGGCCGGGGCGGGGGGGGGCCGGGGCCGGGCCCCCGGGGCCGGCACAGCCACCTCTCAAAGCCCCGCCATGTATTAACGCCTTGTAAATATTAGTGCCCATTAACGCGCCGGACTGGGGCCCGGGATTGAGAGGAAGGCTCCTGAGTGAGCTCGTTACAAAAGCCAGTACCATACAGAATTCACCCGTATGCTAAAACCACTAGTGGAGCTTTAATAAACTACTTCATCGAAGACCAGGCCCGGTGACTCGCCGCTGAGCAAAGTGGAAGTTGGCAGAATCTGCATTTAGGGGGTAGGAGCAAAGCTCGAATAGAGTACGCCTGCTGCTTGGGGACAATGTGTGGCTGGATTTGCAAGCCCTGAGCACCCCTTGGGGCAAGCAGAAGGTGGAAGCAGTTTCGGTGCTTTCAGTCAAAGGGAGAGGCTGGGAAAGGTTCATGGCAGGTGAAAATGCTCTGGCCCGGAGCCTGGCCCCACTCTTTGCACTTTACACAACCAGGACAGCTTTGGTCTCATCAGTTTTATGTCAGTGCTCTGTAGAAACAATAGACAGTTTTTGTAAGGGAAGACAATTAAATCAGTAACACTGAAAAGAAGCTGTAGCAGATTTCAAAGGTGGTAGTTTAAAAGCTGAGCTCATTATCCTTAGACTGAAAATATGACCTACTCTTGGGTTGCCCTAAGGATGAAATAGTATTAGAGCTGTGATGGTTCAACAGCATAGTCTGGCAAAATGCTTAGGGGAAGGTAAGCTCTTTCATTCATTACATTTGAAGAAACGGACAAGTTCTTGAATGTACAGACTGTTCTTACAGGGGAAAATAGTAACTCAGACCACACAGTCAAGTAAAACTTTCTCTCCCCTGGGCATGCACCAGTGCAGTCAATAACTTAGCAAATGTGGCAACACACTAACGGCACGGAATTAAACACTTACTGGGAGAGTTGTTGGAGACTCGTCGGCTCCCTTAGGTAGCATTTGTTTTCAGACAACAGGAGGTAGCACTAGTGCTCTCTCGCAAGATCTTCAGACTGCTACTGATGTTCGCGGTATTTTCCTATGTTGTAACATGACTGTGTTGTGACGTTCAACCTCTTACCAGACTTGCCGATTCAAAGCAAAGGCCATAATGGAAAATACAGCATTACTAAGACTTCAGATCTGTTCTCCTTAGCGACCCTTCTACCTGTCAAGCTGGTAAGTGTTTCTAGCCAGCAGTCAGAACTGCTAAATCTCAGTCGTGTTCTTACCAGAATTGACCACTGGAACAACGAGAAGGAACGTCTCGTCCTTATCACAGATTCGTCCCTCCTGATCTGCAAATACAACTTCATCAGCCTGCAGTGCCAGCACGTGACGAGGATTTCCCTCAGTGCAGTCGATACCATCTCTGTAGGAGAGTTTGAGTTCCCGCCTAAATCTCTGAACAGGCAAGTTGACATAGTAATACTGTGATGTTATTGTAATTCTCCTGCCGTTATTGTAAATAGTTTGAGTGGTCAGACTTTGTCCCTGACCACTGGACACGTTCGAGAATTCTTCCTCTTGTTCATGTGACTTTGCAAACTGAAGCCTCATTAGACCACCTCAGCATAGCTGCTCTTGTGCTGGGACAGTTAGTAGTTATGTTAAAGGCGAGTTGCTCAAGGAGTTTCAAGATAAGATGAATAGATTTGGCAGCAGCAGTTCATCACTGTGTGTTAGGTCACACGTAAACACAGGCTACCACAGGCAGGACAGTTCAGGCGTTGCGTCCTGGGGGCCTAAAGAGCTTAATCTTTTTGCACTCAACTCATGTGAACATACCTTTGCGTAGTTCAGGGGCTGAATTCTTCTGTTACTGTTCTAGAGGAAAAACTACCAAACTTATATTTCAGCTTCCAGTTTTAAGTAGGTCTTTTTGAGACAGAACATTTCTAATTAAACTTACCTCAAAGACTCAAAAGTCTTGCCATATTAATTCCACTGTCTTCAATATCAGGCGGGAAGGTATCGGCATTCGGATTCAGTGGGACAAGCAAAGTCGCGCTTCCTTCATAAACAGATGGAACCCCTGGTCCACAAACATCCCGTACGTCACCTTCACCGAGCATCCCGTGGCAGATGCTGATGAGAACATTGCATCCCTTTGCCTGGTAAGGACGTCACCTCTCCTGTTCTAGAGGGCTCGTTGATCTCGTAGGCAGGATACAGCTTTGATTATTTTGAAAAGATAGAGCAGTTAAAGGGACAGAACTTCGAGCTGTAAGCTACATTTCCCCATTCCCCAAGTTCTGAGTTGCAGGGCAGCCCAACTGAGTTTTTGCCAGCTACTCAGAAGTGGTTTACACAAGAAGGAAGCTGAAACTTCCAGAAGTGCAGAGTTCTGTAAAACCCAGAAGAAAATGGATCTTGGTGCTGTTCTACTCTTGCTTACCTGACAGGCTGATGCCTGACTTTTCCCCTAGGACTGCCAACTAATTAAACAAAGACTTTTATTGCTAACTGTAAACCTTCATTTGGGTGGTTCTCAGTCTGTTTCTCAACAGTTGCTTTCCTCTGAAAGTTTCCTTAAAAATAGAACACTATGGTAATTTCAGTTCACACATCAGTGACAAGGGCAGAACTACAGTCAGAAATAAAGAATATTAGTAACTGATAAATCTTTATCATTTAGCCCACAGGTTTAAGTTGCATGTAAGTAATGCCCTGGTATGAAGTTAACTGTGTCATTAAGCTTAAATGTCAGAACGTAAAGTTTATCATGGCACATGAGATCCACAACAACTACACTTCTAGTGTTAACCCTTTATGATTCAATATCAGCAGTTGTTTGCCTAACAATTTTTAAAACAATGGAAAAACCAAGTGATTTTTTTTCTTTCAGTTGGAAAACTTTAAAACTCAGTTAATTCAAGCTGTGAAGAAAGCCCATAAGGAGTGTCCGTTGCCAGGGAGGGTGAACGGCGTGCTAGTGCTGGAGCGTCCTCTTCTGATCGAGACTTACCTGGGACTGATGTCCTTCATCAACAACGAGGCCAAACTTGGCTACTCCATGACAAGAGGCAAAATTGGATTTTAAAATTAATTGTATTTTAAAATTAATTGCATTTAATCTTTTCAAGGGAAAGTGATTTGATATTGGGCTCCTGGGGAGAGCACGGTGTGTGGCAGAATATCTGAGAATCAAAGCGAGGAAGCTCGGGGAACAGAACGGGTGGTTGTAGATCTGACAGTTCACAGGGGGTCCTGGTTGTTATGGTCAGTCAGATTAATGCAAAGCAGACATGAGGTAGTGTCATTCTCGTGTTTTCTATCTAATTTACAGTTCTTGCTGGTTCTTACATGGGGTTGGTGAACAGCAGTATTTTCCATTTCGAACTGCATGGTCTTCCCTGTTAATTAAGTGCAATTGGTATCTGCTACAAACACGCCGCACAAATACTTAAGATACACTAGAACGTTCATGCCGTATTACAGTTGTGTCCCTGGATATGGCGTCAAATCAAGTCGTGTGCTTGGGATTGATTTGTATTGTTCACAATTACAATAATCTTAGCGTTTTGATTAGTGCCCATTAAGAATTTTGAAAGCTGTGTCAGTCATTCTTTAGCAAAACAGAGCCAGCAAGTTTTGTTAAAGCTGTACTGTTTCGTCTGCTCAGAAGCTGTGCACGTGAACTATTATTTTGTAAACTGAAGTATAGGGCTGAATATACATTTATTAGCTTTTTGTAAAAATACCTCCCTCAAAACCAGAGTCTAACTTCCTTATTTTTTATGTATGTTTTATTGCTGCAGCCACAGAATAAAGACTCTTTTGAGAGAATACTGCCAAAAGCCTCAAACACATTTGCCTTCAAAGATACTGTTTATAAAACTGAACAGGAATTCTACTTTGATTAGATTTATATTCTTAGCAATTTTTCTTAAATCTACTCTAAATTGGGACGGCAGAGTGCAGGAATTTTCTCCATCTCCATTAAAAACACCAAGCACTGAATGTCAATCTTTATTTATACATTCTTGTCCTTAACCTCACACAAATATGCAGTAACGAAATTGTCCTGGGTTTGAGTGAGTGGTGAGATTTTTTGGTAGCAGGGGACAGGGCTCTCAAAGCTCCCTTGGCTCCAAGTCAGCTCCATCTCTGCACCAAAATAGCCAATTGGCTGAGCCTCTGCAACAATGTATTTAAGAAGGGATGTGGTGAGGAGGAGTTGCTGCAGCTGCATGAACACCAAGGTCAGTGGAAGAAAGGAGGAAGAAAGGAGGGGGGGAGGTGTGCCGGAGTAGAGACCCCCCTGTATCCTGTGGTGAGACGGCAGGGCAGCCCCCCCCGCCACCCATGAAGATCTACGGTGGAGCAGACATTGATTTATGGCCTGTGGCTTCCACCTGGATCATCGAGGTGCTGTGCCCAAAGAAGGCCAGGGTCTTGCGGGAAAAGGTAGCTCCCCTTGTTGTAGTTCAGCGCTGGGAGGATTGCAGCATGCAGGGGTGTCCCACGCCGGAGCAGCTCGGGAAGGGCTGCAGCTGTGGGAGGGACTCAGGTTGGAGAAAGTTTGTGGAGGACTGTCTCCTGTGAGAGGGGGACCACACTGGAGCAGGGGGAAGAAGTTCCAGAAGCTCCCCCCACCGCAGATGGCAGCAGCAGCAGCACTGACTGCACCCCCCATTCCCTGCCCCTGCGCTGCTGGGGGAGGAGGTAGAGATATCGGGAGCAGAGCTGAGCCCGGGAAGAAGGGAGGGGTGGGGGAAGGTGTTCTCAAGATGTGGCAATGCTTCTCACTGTCCTACTCTGTTATGTGTTGTTAGTGTCTGTAATAAATGTATGTTCTTTTTTTCTTCCCCTCCCAAGTCTGCCTTCTGCTCTTGACCAGAACAGGGGATCTGCTCCTCCCAGTCCTATCTCAAACCCCAAGCCTGGCTCCTCTGTCCCTTCTCATTGCCAGAGAAGGGGGAGGGAGTGACTGGGTGGTGTTTGGCTGCTGACTAGGCTCAAACCACAACAGAAATTCAGAAGCATGGTAAGAGACACTACAGCTGAAACCACTCAAGGTTACTTTAACAAGCTGTTTCATTGAATGAGACCTACACATGCCATTTTATCACAGCATTGACCTGTGCAACTACAATGCTGAATAAATGCTGTGCTGCAGTGGTGCTTTTTGAACTTAAAGTAGATGTGTGTTTATGAAACTTATGTAAAGCTGAAGTCATGATGGAATGCAACAAGTTGCATGCCCCTCCTCTCAATGCATTTCTTCAGATACCTATTTAATTTTCATGAATCTTGCAGTAAAGTTGAAATTACAACTCGATTTGTTCTTCATTCTTAATTTTGTGGAGACTGAGACTGTGAAATTAAGTAGCAAAAGAAAAAACACCCAATAAATTCCTAAACAATGGGCTCCCTACCATTGAAGAATACAGTGGCTGGCTACTCAGGTTAAAGGTAAAGGATGGTCCCACTCCCTTTCCCTGCTGCACCATCCTCTCCAGTTTGGCACCAGATAGTTGGGTCAAAGGGTCCTGTTTCAGTTGCCTGTAACAGTATCGGTTATGATCTTTCTTGTAAAGAGTCAGTATAATAAATCTATGGTAGACCAGGCACAATTACGGTCACCTGTTAACATCTTAGTCTGGAAAAGCAAAATTATTATGGATGACTTCATTTGCTTTCTGAACAAAGAACTTGTTTTGCTTTAACAGCAATCGATTTGCTAGAAAGGATCTTACTGATGGATCTACCTGTACTACAATATTTAATTCTAATACACCAGAAATATTTCTTGTCTTAGAAGACTAGATATAAGCTGTACACTGTTTGTTGTGTGCAAGTAACAGTTTTCTTGGGCTGGGATAAATAGCTACATGATCACATCACTGGTAATAGAGAAACAGACTTTAGAATGGAGAAATGCAGGTTCATAGTTCGAGTCATACCAAGTTTGTAATTATCAAAATATTTATTGGCAATTATAAAACTTAAATAATAGCTATACATTATATACACACGGCTACAATTTTAGAAAATAAGGTTTCACAGTTGACAGTTCAAGAGAAAGTTCAACTACACCAATACTAGTTTTCTTGAAATCCAGACTTCATTCTCTACACTTTAGTTGCTACATCACTTCATTCAATTGCAATCACAGTACTTTACACATCAGACTTTGGATACGGTCCTTCAAATAAATAATTTATAAATAAAAAAAACTTCAGATTGGGCAACAGGGTTTGACCCTTTCCTCATTCTTCCTCACTTATGAGCATTCTTAATGCAAATGACTTATTTTACCTCTTCTCTTTCTAAGTAGCACACACAAAAGTTGTCCTTACTCAGAAGCACCATGGAGTCTCCACTGGAATGCCAGGAAAGGGACGTGATCTGGAAGTCACCTGCAGAAACAGATCAGAATTTGTCAGCACAAGGCTGACAGCCCATCCTCTTATTCTAGGAAAAGTCACACACATTGCAAAAAACACCATCCCCTTCTTGGAAGCCTTACTAGGGCGTTTGATTTTGTTACTGGGGCCGTCAAGCCAATCCATTCTCCAGTACGGCAATGCGGATAAGCCGTGTTACTGAGCCTTTCCCCCAAACTTACAGTTACTTTGTACTCAAATACAAACACAGCTTTTTAGACTCATCATTTTAATGCAAACAGATGCCACAAGATTATCCACTGGTGCAAAGCTGCATGGCCCAATGCTGCTGCCTTGTGTAGAGAAGAAAAAGCTGAATCTTTGTGACTTCTTTCCTGTTTAATATGCAGAAGGGCATTTACATGATCTAGCTAATGGCCTCATACCATTTACTGCCAACCATAAAACTTATCATGCAGGCTGACTTAGAGTTCAGGCTCATGTATGGTCTATCCTTCCACACCAGATTTACTATGCACATTTTTTCCCCATTAGTGTTTTGCTGTAGTTTAGTTGTTTTCAGAATACCCCAAAACATTATAGGCGTTTGAGTCTTTACTTCAACACTTGTCATTCTGCACAACTGCTGTTTCTATGTAAATAAACTGATACGAATATAAATCTTGAGAAAAAATTCAAGATACCATATGATTAAAGCGACAATTAAATCATTTAGCCTGTGCTCCTTTCTTGATATATTTTATCCTATTTGCTATGTTTCATTATGAACTCCTGTTTTTTGAAGATAGAAATACCCGTTTTCAAAAAGCTCCAAGAACACATCTGAGCTATTTACATGATAATGCTTGGACTGATTTATAAGTGGAAAAATATTTTGAAAGTAAGAAGCTGATGACTGCTCGTGGAAATCATTGCAGGCAGCCTTACCTTCCATCGGCACCTGCACTGACACGCAGCCAGCTGGGGACCATAAGTAGACTTTGCTATTTCCTGTACATACAGCCAGTCGAGGTTGTCGTGGATCCCACTGGAAAGATTGGATTGCACAGAGCTGCTCTAAGACTACAAACAGCTTCAGCTTCTGAATGTCCCAGATCCAGACAGCATTAGGAATGTTATCTGTGACAAGAGGAAGAGGTGACCACGTAAACACCTGAAGGATAAAAAGATGACACTTTTTTTTTTTTTCTTTAAAGAAACAGGCACTAATTGAGGTCTAACACAACACAAGCTATTTAGGTACACCACTGGTTTAACACCACTACAGTTTTGTCTAGCAGTGCCTTAAATTTTGCCTTGGAAATATTCCAAAAAGGATAAAAGCAGTGACTTCATCTTGGAGTCCTTCACTGGCTTTTATCAAATTATTCCCAATTATACTGTTGTTGATGGGTTTTGCATCTGAACCACAGGTTTTGCATCCAAACATAAACAGCCCTTCAGGACCACTGAAGGGAAACATTAAACATTAATTCCATGACTTTCACTATTTGAGGCAATCAAAAGCCCTCTTACTCCACGTTGTGAAGAATTCTGCCTTTCGAGAAACGCTTCCTAAAATGGAGGAGGAAAGATTTGTGTATTGCATTTTCTAATGCAGGGAGCTCACATAGATTTGAAGAAATATAAAAAGCATACTATTTCCATTAAATCCAAAGCCAAGAACAAGCTAATGCACTGATAAGCAGTTCTGGCAGCTCACAATACTTTACGTGCACTAGAAGACATAGGCTGAATTTCCTCTGTAGTTACATGTCTGCATAATGGAGAGCTGCTTTTAAAAAGGGCCATGAGTCCTCCTGTAGTGCAAAATAACTGACCACTTACTGTCCCTGTTTCTTTTCTGAAAACACACCACCCACAATGAGTAGGTTCCCCCCTTAATGCAGAGCAGTAGGAACTTACCATTTTTGGTTGCCAGGAAACAGTTATCTGCACTGAATGCCAACATCCCGATTCCCATTTTGGGATTTGCCCTGTCAGCAACTGGTTTGATATGCTGTAAAGAAACTGGCACTTGGGAAACATCATCTGGAATTTGAAATGAAAGTGCTTTACTAAGCAAGCCTGAATGGACAAAATATTTAAATTCCAACTGTTAAAAAACCCTTCATCTCTGAAGCGATAGGACCATAATTTACTCTTCTCCAAGATGTTCCAATCAAAAGCTTCTATTGTTTTAAGATATTGTATCTTCACATAAACAGCTTACTATTATTGCCCTTCTACAAAAAAAAAAAGAAAATCTGGAAATCCAGGCATGTCTGAGATCAAACCATGAAAAAAAGGAGAGATCAAATTTTCCACTACCTTTTAACTAGTATTTCAAGCAAACACCAGTGCAAAACAAAGGATATTTACAGTATCACAAACAATGAGACAGTAAAAAAAAAACAAAACAAAAAAACCAGAAAAAAGTACTAATCATACATTATCTGCCATCGGTTTAATATTTCAAAGCTTATTGTCTGGAGACAAGTTTAAAGCATTGCTACGACTACAGCTTCTTAGACAAAAGCCAAACGGCCTTTTCATGCTCTGCTTCTTTACATAACCTCATACCTAAGGGATTAATTACAATCCTAAAACAGACAGCAAGACTGTAACACCTTCTGATTATTATTTTTTTTTAAATTAGTGGAATTGTCACACACTGTAAAATTCTTAATTGCAATAGTTCATCTGATTCTAGCAATTATCTGCAACAGTTAAACCAAGTCATGAAATAACACTGCATAGATTGAATAAATCAGAAAAAAAAAAATCTACACAATGTTAAGACAACTTTTGCAAGCAAATCCAAAACTGGGACCTGGCTGCTATTTCTACACCCAAGTAATTACAGTTCTTTTCTACAATATCCCGCTAGTCTTTAACCTGCCTTCAATCCACCATGCAGAGTTCACCTATAATGTTTATTTATAGAAACACTTCGCATGGCAAACTCAAGTGTCTCAGTTTAGTAAACTTTGGCTTACATTTACTTTGTGTGCTGAAGAGAGAACTAGCCAATGCTCTTGTTGGAGGGAAAGAAAGTCTCTCTGTTTCAACAGATGGGGATTTCTCCACTTCTTTATACACAATCTACAAAGAAACAAGTGAAAGTTCTACAGAAGGGCCTCAGAGAATTTGAACATGGGCTATAACCAAGTCATCCACATCCCACTAACTCATTTTCAGGTGTACAGTATCTCAGCATCCCCTAGTTCATCAGTGGAAGAAAGGGCTTCAGTAGGCAAATACCAAATCCAGCATTCTCAGTGAATCATTTGCTATTTGGACCCATGATCAGGAAAACACTCCTGTGACAAATAAATGAACCTTGAAGTCTACAAAGAATAAGCCTGCCAGAGTATACCTCATTCATTATTCCTGAGAGCTAAATCTGGCAGTACAATAAATCATCTTCATTACAATGGGAACATAGATTTCACTTTTGCAACAAAGAATCTTTAATCAGATACTATCATAAATAAATGCAAACCAAGTGCAACATTCCAGAAGGAAACAGCAAAAATATTTTAGTAGTGAAACCACAACATATTATTCCCAAACGCAAGCACCAGGATAAAATGCACCAAGTGCAATTCCTGTCTGTGCAGTAGAGTAACAGAGCTATTTCCATTTGCTTTCTATTACTTGTTCTACACCTAACTGGGAGTAAGGTCACTTTTCAGTCATGGGAAGTTTTGCTCAGGTGCATTTAATGGATCATGCCTTGCTTCTGGTTAAGAGGCATCATCACAGCCATGTGAATATTGCAGACTTATGGCCTACACATGTAAACTCTTGCAGGATACCTGTCCAGACACAAGACTAGTCCTTCCTCTGCAGTGGCATGCAGCACTACTACACTGCATCTTCTTTTTACCTTGATGGATGAGAACAGCTTGTGATTTTTGAAACAAATGCTACAGCTCTCCACCTGCTGCCAACTACCCAGAATCTGTTGGGCCTTGCATATACATGTATGTAAGGATAAAAATAAAAGATGGCAGATGTTTAGAGGAAATGCTCTTTAGGTGAGCTGGATGAGCTTGTACATACAAGATGTAAACCTGATCAGACTCCAGTTCAAATGCTGTTTAAAGTCACAAATTGTATGCAGCTGAGACAAATCTCTCCTGTTAAGTTTCCCAGTTTGCCATCACCTTCATACCCAAACCTGTAACACAACCACCATATACATCAAAACACACTGGCATATGACAGAAGTCACCTGAGAATCTATTCATGCTTAAGATGAGAGGGTCATATGTGTGTATTCCATCAAACTTGAAAGGATTCCTCTATTTTTCTTACATCCTCAAATATTCATGCAATTTCCCAAGCCCTATTTACACATCAGGAGGGGATAAAGCAGTCTGCAGAATTAAATGGATTTACTAGCATCTTTCAGATACAAATAGCAGTGTCAAAGCACTGCTAATGATTCAATGGATTTTGGATCTGTACGTACCGTCTTGGTGTTAGCAACAGTTGCTGGATGCTCAAACTCTGTGATCTTCTTCCAAGTTACATGGTTCAAGATACGCACCTAATTCAAGAAAGCATTGCGAGACAAAACTGTTATGACAAAGTTCTACAAATGGTTTAGATAAAAGAGAAAAACCTGTTTCTTACCTTTTCATCATAGCTGCCAATTGCCAAAAATTGACTGCTGGGACTCCAGGCAATTGATTTTATGCCTAGCGACCATTCATAAGCCCGATACATGGAGAGTAGTCTGCCATCAAGGGAGTACAGCAATATTTTATACTGAAACAGAAATAGATGAATTCTAAAGACTAACAATATTTCTAAAAGTCACAGGCAGACAAAATCATTCCTTCCAAACTCTCCCTGCAGTAAGTTAAACACAAAGAGCATGCTCTCTTAGCTGTGACTTGAGACAAGAGGCTCCGGGCTTCCAGTCTGGCTCTTTGGGCACTCTCCGAACACGTCCGCCCTGGCCCCAAGAGGCTCCCCTGGGCCTGAACCACGGCCCATCCAGCCCAGCGCTCTTCACCATCACTAGTGGATGCCAGTACAGAAGGCCCTCATGCTGGTGGGGCATCCACCAGCCATCTGATTAGGGGGGTTACAACCCTACCCCTTCCCAGTGCTTTTGTTTTGGTCATGCCACCCAAAACGTTATGGCCAGAGGAGGACACTTTTCCTTCTAGAAGTTCACCTACTCAGAGCAGAAAGGATAGCAATTTATATATTCCTCACTAACTTTTCAGATTTGTACTTTTACTTAACTGTAAAATGACTGTGCAATGCAAAGTAAAGTGGTACAAGAGTCTTAGAGAAGGCTTCTTTCATTATTCTTTCACTCTTTCAATATTGGCTCCTGCAGTGTTTACAATCAATTTTTTTTTTCCACAGAAATTAGGAAGAAAGCTAATAAGATGCTGTCATTGAAGATTTACATAAGTTTGACATACACTTGTAAGAACATCCATTACCAATACAAGTATAATATTTAATACAGTTTGAGTTCAGCTTTTGTTACGTTTAAAAGAAAAAAACCTAACACTAATTATTTTAGTTACTTTATATATGGCAGCTACAAACCAACTTGAACTCTCCATGAAAATAGTCTGCTTTTTCCTCATACCTCCAGACACGTATCCCACGCTGCCAGAACACAGCCATTAGGAGCCCATTCAATCCCAAACAGATCTTGCGTTTCAGTGTCAAAATGCTGCCCCCAAGAGAAAAAAAAAAAAAAAAACATTTGAAATATACTAACAAATACTGTTGCATCTGACCTAATGTAGTCCTCAGCTTTACCCTTTAAGTGTTATCACAAAGCATACAAAAGGCTCTTTTGCCTATCATAGAAACAGAAATATTTTCTTTTGTAATAGTATGCTTGCGTTCACTGTTTCTTTGGTTTCCCTTTTCTGTAAAGGCAAAAAACTGCTATACCTTAAAATGAACAGCATTTCATAAGAAAATAAAAGTAGTTACACTGAATCAGTCAAGAAATCTAGCTAGCCTAACTCCTTGCCTCAGAAAGACCAGTACAGAATCATTAGGGAAGACCCTGGGAACATGACAAGCATTTAGTGGTATTTCCCAAATTTTGCTATCAGCTTCCAATACAACTCTGAATTCCTGAACCAGAGGTGACACTATGTCTGGATTAGTTCTTAATGGTTCTCATTTCCCAGATTCATGCGGTTCTCTAAGACATGCTAGTGTGCATCCTTCAAAGCCTAGTCTCATTGTTAAAACAGAAAATATGACAGTTTATATTCTACATTCCAAATGATCACTTTATCAAGCATTTGATACTTTCATTAATAATAATGTAGCATAGTTTAGTGTAAATAAGCTCATGAAAGAATTTAAAGGTGAACTTTTCCATCAGAAATTCCTCACACACACACAATATACTGGCCCACTGAACAGAACGCTGCTATGGAAGTATGCCTGCAGGCCAATGGAGGAGCCAGATGCAGGACAGAAAATGCACTGGCAAATCTAAAACCAGACTAGCAAAGCGAGTCTAAAGTAGCGTGCAACATATGCTTGTAGTCCGTGCAGAAGCTGTGGAAGGCAAGGACCTATCTTACCCTCAGTAGCTGCCAGTCACTGCACACAAAGATGCTAATGAAGTCCTTGCAGTCACGTCTTTCTGCTACTGCCATATAGCGGCCGTCCTTAGTGAAAGCTACTCCTGCCAATGAGACATGGTTAGAGGGAAAAAAAAACAAAAGGGAGAGAAAGGAAGACAGAATAGCTGATGATTCTTCAGTGAAAAGCAGTTATTCCCAATTCAAAGAAGTAGTAAAAAGAGAAGGAAAAATATCTTCACAGATCACCACATTAATCAAGGCAATGCATAGTGTTACTAATTTGCTTGTGTCGGCAGTTCTTAAACTTTGGATGTACTATTTCTAAGGCCGCAGCTTCAGAGCTATAGCAGAACTTCAGCATGCTTCAAAAACCACATTTGATTGCTGACAGACAGTTGTTCTATAAAACCCAGATTTCAAATAAGCAGTTCATTTACTCTAGCTAAATGGATTAGTTATGCAACCATTGGTACTCTACCAACTTCCAGGCATTGGTCCCCATTTACTCTTATTTTATGTAATACATAATTGACTTTGTCATATATGAGATATTACTATATAAAAGCCTCAGGCAGGAAACTGCTAACCACAGCCATGTGGCTAGACAGTCCTGACACAAGCTTCCGTTTCAAATCTTTTCATGTGTAAAAGATGACAAAAGCCACTTTGGATTAGCGTTTTTCATCATCAATGCCCCCAGCTTAATTTAATGTCTTAGAGGACCCTTCATAAGTGAACACAACCAAGCTTCATATTTGAAGAGCAGGCACATAGCTCAGATGTCCACAGCAAGACTGTGACAACCCCTGAGCACATCTGGGTGCATCACAGGAGGCGGCACACGGGCACCCCTGAGGGCAAGCTAACCCCTCAGCACGGAGGGTGCCAAAGCCTGCGCTGAAACCTGTTTCATCATTACACTGTCAAATTCTTTTTCCCTTTCTGCCATATTAAAAAGTGCCCATTCCTGGGTTAGATTTGTGACACTTACCCTGCTGACAAGCTTTGGGATACTTGATGTAAGATACAGATTTTGTACACAAGGACCACACAGTTATCCGCAGCTGTCAAAGAAAAAAAGAGACAAGGAAGTATTTGTTTATTTTTGTAGACAAAAAAAATAAGTAAATAGAAACCCATAAACCTAATTCAGCAACACAAAGTAGATCAGTATACCTTTTGTGGTTAATTAAACTTTGCAGCTATTCTATGTAACTCAAACACAAAGCTCCATGAAGCAACAGAGAGGAATTCTCTCCCAACTCCCTTCAGTTAGCAAGGTTACTTATTGCAAATTACAGGTACACTGAATACTCTAGAGGGGTATTTAAGATGTAGAACACCAAGATGCAGAAAAGCTCTTCATTAACACTAAAGTTACTGATATTAGCACAAACCTAGCTACATGGTTGCCAATGTGTCATACACAGACGCTTCTCAGTTGGAAAAGAACACACAGTTTGGTCACAGAATCTGGGAGAGATGAGAAATTTTTTGCATTTACGAATGCATGAGAAGTTACAGCAACTTAAGACCACTGTACCTCTTGGGAAAAGGCTACCAAGTATGAAAATTCAGTTGTATTTTTCAACTTTTAGACATACCCAGCTTTGACAGCTAATTTGCATTTTGCGCTTCCCTCCTCAGTCACACACAAGAAGGAAACATGAAGTAATTACTGAAAAAAATGGAAAATAACTAAAATACGCTATGCAAAGCAAGGCATTAAACATCATGTTTGGGGTATTTCTGGAGGTCGTGCATCCCTAAAACACTGAAACTGCAGAGAAGGCAGTCAGCTGCAAAACAAGCCTCTCCACAGCTTTCAAGGTCACAGCCTGCATTCTGGAAGCTCTGCGTTGCCATCTGCAGATTATTCAATTAAAAACAAATACTTACTCTCCCTTAGCAACAGCAGCCACACCAGACATATGTGCATTAATCAGTATGTCATGTGAACCTTTGCATTTATATCTGGAGTGAGGAATGTTTCCAGTGTAATTTTTTTCTTGTGTTTTCCTAGGTTTTATTGCACCAAGGTAAGAGATTCTAGAAGAGACACAGGTAAAACTATTTTCTCAATGAAGCACCAGTCATAAAGTCATCTTTCCCACACCTCCTGAACAACAGTATTAGTTCTGATCCATTATAAGTAAAACTTCAGCATCGTCTACCATTCCATCCTTCTGCATCCAATGCAGATCATCAGCACCACCAGAAGTCTTGGAAAGAGGCAGTTTCTGTTATGCATTTTGGCATGTTTGTCCTCAATGCATGTTTTCCTTCTCCGAAGTAATTGGTGCTATTCAGTGGTGACAAAGGACTCCCAGGTAGCATCCTAGGTACCTGTTCTACCTGGTAACACTATAAACTGTGCATTGCAACAGAGCTTGGAGGGGTTTTTTTGCATTGTTGACATTATCATCTTTGTCAGAAAGCACGATACAAGTAATTGACACTTCAAACCAAGCTTCAGAATCCTAATAAACGCTGCCTCCCTCCAGAGACATGGAGTCCCAAAGCAAAAGAACAGCATTAGCTGTTCTCCCTGCTGCTTTTTCTACACAGAGTAAACTTCTGACATTTGAAGACAGAACACACATTTTTTTTTTAATTATTTACTACAGGAAAGAGCACAACCACAGTAGATTCCAGGCTGTTTCTATCCAAAGATAGAAAAGATATTGGACCACTATTTAATGCAGTGTTTATTATTCTCTTCCTTTATTTTACAGTTATGAAATTACAACTAGACATCTATAGTACCACCTTTAAGTTTAGCAAGTTCTAGAAGAATCCACTAGATGAACAACATTAATCAAGTTTTATCACTACAACTGCTCACTTCCGGACATACAAAAATACAGTATTGTTAGTCTGCTCTTCATGCAAGATTTACTTTAAAAATACCAACACAATGCCTGCTCACATTCTTCTATAGCAACTGCAATAGTGATATGCTGCTCGCTCCTATTAACTGCAGTGTTAAATGTACTTGCTGCTGTTCCTCCCTTGACCAAAACACGCAGCATATACAACACACATTCTACAGCCACTTAATGCAAGCTTAGCAGCTGCAAGCTTTGAATGCTGAGGTCTGGATCATAATTTTTCCTGACAAAGGCATCTAAGCTTACCCTCATGCTGCTACACGGCCTCACAATCAACTCACCTGGCCTGCTGTGCATCACACACACTTCTGTCCTGGACCACACGGGCTGGCTCAGAGCCTCAGAACAAGGCAAAACCTTACTGCTCACATCAAGCTCAAGTACATCAGAAGGGGAAAATCTTGAGAGGTGAGAATCTGCACATCACGTACAGAGCTCTTACCATCACTTCTGCCTTGCCCGAGACTCCACCGCAGAACAGAAAGCAAGTACACCTTCATTTTGAAGAGTCTTTCTGCGCTTCATCCTTGGGTGCAGCCCTCTCTTTGCTGTTCTGACAGAACCTTCTCTAAAAGGGTCAAGTTTTGTGACTCCCCAGGATACACTAATAACGGTTTCCCTGCTCATTCTTGTCACGTTATGCTTAACCGCAGAACTTGCGCTTCACTGACATCAAAAGTTCCAGTCACATTAAACACCAATATTGTTGGAGTGGTACTGTATCGCCCCATAAACCTCCCCAACACATCATTTTTAGCATATATGGCATAAATCGCAGTAATGTCATTGCAGTACTGGGGAGAGAGGACAGAGCACAACCACCACACCCTCACAGGGTGTTTGCACTAGTCTACGCAAAAACACACCTTTGAAAACACAGACCTGTTATTATACTGGATGCCCACAACTCTTGATAACCAAAGCGCTTCATCTTCAGAGTTAATCCAAATCAGTCACAACACACCCGGAACAACTAAGATCCTCTATTCAACTTCAGTATCTCTCTCCTGAAAGGGCTGCAAGCTCGTAAGGGAAGCGCACAACCGCAGGTCAGAGGCCACACACGTGCTCTGCCGTAGTGTCGTTGCAGCCTCTTGCCACCTCACACAACACAACCTCAAGGCTTTGGCCTACTGTTAGAAACACATACAAGCAAATCATTTTGATTCCTAAAATTACAATCTTTCCAATTGTTCTATTTGCATACCTGCAAGCATTTTTATAAATTGAGAAAGTTACATCATATGCTTAACATATGGACTTCACACCTATCTTACAGGGATTAACAGTATTTTTGCAATTAAACTGTGATAAAAAGGGAGAACCTTCCTAATCTCAACTGGAACTGAAACATTATTCCACAATCCTGCCCAAAGGAAGATTATTTCACAGCTAGTAGATATGATTATGAGAGACAGAAGCATAAAATGCACAGAGAATAAAAAAAAAAAAGCCAAACACTTCAAAAATTACAATAGATTGCATTGCTCTTATTTGCTTTTCTTGGAGACTTTGTGGGGAAGGAACAATTGCTTTATTCCAGGAGAACAGATCAAGGCCAATTAAGTCTGCATCAAGCACTTCTTCACTGATCATTTTGAGGGGTACTTTCTCTTTAGCGTAGATGACTCGATTAAGTGGAGTTGTCAAACTCAAATCCTAATGATAATGGTGTCTGAGAAGTTTTCAGCTGTTGTTTTGCAGTGGAAAAACAAACCAAAAGCAGAAGCATTTTTAAAATAGCCTAAAAACAGCTGAGAAATAAAAAGTATTTAGATGGTAACGTGATAAACAGTCTCCAGCACAGGGTTCAGGACTACATCCCAATGTTGACAGCTATAGGCAGGTGTAAGACTGGTGATTTTCAATAGATAAAAACACACTTTTAAACAACCTTGCATCTCAAATGACTGTCAACTTTTGTCCCAGACTTGACTGGGTCACAAGGCCTCCTTACATAGCAGTGTCTGTCAGCACCGGATTTCAGAAGATTATTCAGAGCACATTCCTCGACAGAAAGCATTTTTCAACCAATGTAGCCATTTACAGTTACTAAGGATTAGCTCCAATATACACAGAAACACACACTTTCCTCCCCTGCTGCTGTAGTTTGAAGGAAGCTCCTTACTGTTTCAGTACCTAACATGGAACAAGGGAAAGTACAATATACATAGTTTGTAAGTATGTCTCTTAAAAGAAACACTCAAGAACAATGCCACTGACCTTCAAACTGTTTATCACAAAACATGAGAGTCATGAGGAAGCAGAGGATCCATTTGCTTTCCCCATATCTTTTATCTGCAGCTCTCATTTAAGCTCCACATGTGCCTATGAATTTGGGTGGAACGACAGCGCTGCAAGAGGAGAGATACCTGGTGCAACACCTTCCACGGGACAAACTGACAACATGGAATCTTCCAGTTACACACTGCAGGCATGCACAACTGTCCCACTGCATGGATTTCAGCAGGAGAGGAAGTGCCAACTACAAAATAAGCGACAAATGATAGATATGGGACAACAAGCTGCTTTCCAGTGCACCGCATGAATCAATATAATTAACATGGTGTTCTAACTTTTTCAGATTCCAGATGGACTTCGCATAACAGGCTTTCAGGAAGTGTTTTTCCAACTAATTTCGATTTGCTCTTGATTAAATAAGAAAGTAGTACCACCTCTTTTTTTTTTCCTCCAAAAATCTGTTAGTTTCCTAATAGAACTGTACTCTAGCTTGGTATAAACAACAAGATGAAAAATCAAGCTGCAAATATTCTGATCACTTCTCACATGTACCTGTAAGATATAAGCAGACAAAGAAAAAAAGCCTTCCAAGTTTGGAAGTACCTTTAAATATATCCAACTGCTCAGTAAAACTAGTTTTTGCCCAGCAAAACCCAGCAAGTCTGTATCTTGCCTTGCAGTTTGCCAGTCTGGCTAGCAGCACTGACTGTCCCCAACAGAAGGGAATCCTCCAACCCAGCATAGCAAGTGCTTGAGGAACAAGCCTACATCTTTCCTACATCTCAGCAGGAATTCCATCTTAGCTGCTGATAGAATGACCCCTCCACACATAACGCTCAAGCTAACATACAGCACAAAAATGGTTCCAAAATTTTGGGCAAGTAACTAGGTACAACACACACTTCTGTAGTTAAGCGTTGTAAATTCTTCTGCATCTGCCAGTAATCCATTATTGTGAAAAACAACCCGCCATCAAGTGAAAGGACAGAGTCTCTATATACTTCCCCCTATAAGGCTGTACCATTTAGTTGCCTGGCAAACCACACTCTTTATCACAGTAACTGTAAAGATTTAGACAGGTACCTGCGCCATTCAATATTACTGTACATTGTGTAATAATTCTTGTGCCCAAAACCCTGCACATTACTAAAAGACTCCTCTCCAATAAAATGCTTGTATTTGCAGAGTTATTTTACTATTAAGTGCATATGGAGCATTGTTGCCCATCTCAAAAGACCGAACAGAGTCAAAATGGATTTTGGAAATGCATCAGAATTCTGCTGCACTCATCTCAAGTTCGGAGTGGTACACCAGTCACATCAAAAACCCCACAAGAACTTGACAAAAAAACACAAAAAGAACTTGACTGCAAGTTAGCTGATGATTATTATTTCTGAGGCACTACTAAGTACAGATTGCTAGAAATAAATTAGCATAACCATATCCTTAAAAAAAAAACAAACAAACAACAACAACAACAAAAAAACAAAACAAAACAAAAAAAAACAAAAAAAAACAAAAACAAAAAAAACCCAAACACAGGAATAAGAAATTTATTTGTGAGTTTAGAGTGAAGCACACATGTTGACCTGAAGAATTACAAGTATGAGTAATTAGTTGGTGCTGTTTGAAAGTGTCTGGCTACCAAAGCCAAGCTGCACTAGTTGACAGGGAACCCCTAAGCCCTCCAAGCAAACGCTGAATTTGATAACGTACATAATACACCAATATTAAGTATCCTGACAGTTTCTGTCTCGAGCACTACCCACGTCTGTCCCACCAGACCATGGATTTAGCAGTGAGAGAGTAAACACAACTCAGACATCGGCATAACCCAGGCAGCTGTCTGACAAAAGCTAATTTAGCAACCTGTTTACAGCTGGAAAGAAAACTTATCCCAACACAGATGCCAACTTGGCAAAGGCTTAATGAAATCCTCTAAGGTCAAACCAAGTTCTGTTGGGAGGCAATAAATACTTGCTAGTCCACCCCCACACCCATGTGCCATGAAATACTCACTCGTAGCACATAGCACCAGCCTTTGGTTTGGGTTACTGACTACAACACTTCTGACTAGCAGGCATGTCTTTTCTGACTTCAGGTTGAAATTCTGGACTCATTTTTTATTTTCATCACCATCGGGGTGATTCTTTCCTGGGAAAACTAAGGCCTAAATTCATCACTCCTCAGAACCCGCTATCTAAAGGGGTAGGGGAATGGAAAGAGACTGCTTTACAGCCAGAAAATCTCTACCCCAGTCAGCACCGAGAATCCTTGTCAGCACTAAATACCCTTGCTGGAGTATTCCACCATGTGTGCATTGCCAACTACATTGTGGCTGTATGCAAGTTTCTCCACAGGTTTCCTTGAGAGCACCAGCTTCTTACACTAACTCCAGTCCACACACACAAAGTCCTCTGTCTAGATTCTGCTGACGTTGGGATTTGCATGAAAAAAGGAAAAAAATCTTGTAACATTTGAATTCAGTGCTAGCAAGGGTTATGACACAACAGCCAGTCATCTAAAATCCATCTACAGTTTTGAAGAGTAAATATGGCAAAGAAAAATGTCTTGCATGTAGTGCTTAGCTATTTTCTGACTGTTCATCATTGTACTGAATAACATGAACGATAACTCTAATCCAAAGACTATAAAGGTGGAGAGTCAGACTTCCACGTGCCTTCCAACAAGACCCACATCCACAAACTGATCTGGATTCTACCTTTGTGTGGATTCCAGAATATGGCTCTTAATCAATGAGCCCTTACAGGTGTTTTAATTTTAAATTTGCAGGCAGTTGGCTCTATCAACAACAGTCTGACTCTTATGTGTCAAATCAAACAATTACGAAAGCATTTCCAGGATTTGGATCTAAATCTCATAAACCTAAAACCACATTTTTTAATTCCATAGCCACTCTTCAACATCTACGGTTTGGGATTTTTCATCTTGCTAGAAATCTTGAGCCTTCCCTGAGCAACAAACAACACATTTGATTTCTAAAATTGTTTTGATGAATGCCAGACATCCCTACACTTTTCTCAAACACACAGTTTTACCTTCAAAGCTGTGTGCATTTTCTATCTTATCATCAGAAGCAAGAGGATAAAATGTTAGCACAATAGCTAACATCTAAATGGGAATTAACTTAGATTACATATATTAATCCAGGAGAACTATATCCGTGTTCTTTACCACCACTACAGCTTTAAGAGCTTTAGGTTATTTTAAGAGGCAAAGGGCAGAGAGGAACATCTGATACCATTGAGAGTAATGATGACTTCACACTTACATGAAACTCAGTTGTGTTGAGAATGTGACGACCATCCGGACTCCAGCATGAAGCCACCAGTCCTGCTGACCCCTCGTCTATCTTACAGTGCCAGTCCGGCTGCTCTAAGGACCAGACCTGGGTCAGAGAGGAAACCAAACAGACAGTGCAGCAAGCAAACAGCTCATCAAAACCTCTGCTCACAAGAATACACTACAGCTGAGAAAAGGTTCCTGCATCGCATACCAGAGAGGTCAGGAAACCTCTGAAAGCCCGTGGCCATGAAGGACTGGCGCTGGATCCCACTACAAAAGTAAGCCCCAAAGCTCTGTTTTAATACAAATTGTTAAGTATGGTGGTTTGTTGTTTTGTTTTGGTTTTTTTCTGCTCTGACAAATACTGTGAACATCCAACACTTAAAAGTTTTAGTTCATTTAACAGGCTTGCATGTATTTATTTCCTATTGAACTGAGAAACTGTAACATAATATCTAGCTTTGGTTTGTTTTGCTAAATATTTTCATTCTAAATTTGTTTGGGTTTTTGTTTTGGTTTGGTTTTTTTTTCAAACTAAGACATTTTTCATGGTTTTAAAAACAATGGCATGCTGGGCTATTCTCAAACCATGTGTTATGAATAACAATGTCAGATACTTTAGCAAAAGCACTGCACGAGTGCTTGCCAACAAGAAGCTCTCACTCACAGCACATGCGAATCCCCCACGGGAAACATTTTCTGTCCTTACCTGAACAACCCCACGCTTGTACATGGCGCACAATATGAACAGTGAGTCGGACGACCATTCTATGTACTGGATCTGATCCAGGCAGGTGTACAGCTGGAGGATCTGGAGGGTATTCACGTCTCGAACCACCAAACGGTACTGCACACACGAAGCCTGAACGAGAGCAAAACCAAAAAAACAAAACAAAAACAAAAACAAACAAACAAAAAAAAAAAAAAAAAAAAACACGAAAAAACACCAGGCTTGAGATCCACGACTGCCACCGTGCCGTGACAAAGCGCGGCGCTGCCTCGACACGCTCCTGGCACGGTCGGGAGCGTTCACCTCAGAGAGGCTCGACATGCGCTGTGCTCTGCTGCGAGCTACAACACAAACAGTGAAGCCAGGAGGGAAACGGGGGTGCTATATTAATAAAAACAGTCCTCATTAGCTGGTTAGCTAATTCTACTTTTTTAAAAAAACACATTTTTTGTGTCATAGCTATTATTTTATGTAATCAACCTTAATCAGAGCTCCATCATAAAGACCCCGGCTGACTAAAAGCCTCTCCGCAGCCGCCCCACGTCCAGCGCAGTTCCGGCGGGGCCGGTCCCTCCCCGGGGCCTGCAGGCCCGGAGCGGAGCCTCCCAGGGGGCTCCCCCCGCCCCCCGGGCACGGAGCAGCCGTTACCGCGGGCCGTTACGACCGGGCGCTCCGCCCGGCGCGTTACCTCAGGCCGCGGACCCCGGTAAACGCGCGGCACCCCGCCACACACACACTCACCAGGCACTTGCCGTCGGGGGAGAACCTGCCGAGCAGCCCGGAGAGCTTGAACAGCTCCGAGAAGTTCATGGCGGGGGAGGGAAGGGGCGCGGGGGGGAGCGGCGGCGCCGCGATTCAAACCCGCCCGCCGCCGGCCCGGGCCGGCCCTCGCCCCGGGGCGGAAGCGGGAGAAACGGGCGGGCGCATCTGGGCCAGCCGACCAATGGGAGCGAGGGGCGGGCGCTGCCCCGCGGCACGCCGGGAGCTGTAGTCCGGGGCGGGGGTGCGCATGAGGGCAGCGGCGGGAAGCGGGCGGGAAGGCACCTGGCGACAGCAATTAGTATGTAAATGAACCGCTTAACAAGGCATGGTGTGGCCAGGCAACCCGCTTCCCCCTTTTCTCCTTCCCCCCCTGCGCTCCCCCCCGCCACCCCCTCCTCGTCTTTCCGTTCCCGCTTTTCCAAGGACAGCATCCCGCTCTCTGGATAATTACTCTCCCTGGCTAATTACTGACGGCGACGGGAGAACAGGCGGGATGTCCTGAAAGGCTCCGCAGCTAGGGCGGACGGGACTGCGAATTACAGTAAAAATAATACCGGTAAACGGGACGCTAATCGAATTAGAATAAACCAATAAAGTTTGGGGAGGAGAATATGCCAAGGATCGCCGGTCAAGGTGATAACCCCTCACAGGGTTTGTATTCCCTTGGGAAACAGCCCTGGGCTGCCAGGGAGCTGAGGAGCTGTTGGCGGGGACCAAGGACCGTGACAGGGATGTCGGTGTCCTAAAAACGCTCCAGTCCTTTGGGCACAAAAGCTGAGGAGGCCGCTGAGCCCCTTTCACTGCCGCCCGGCTGTGCTGGGGGGACGCGGGCGCTTCTTCGCTTGGCCCACATGTTTGCAGGGGGCAACGAGCCCCTCGTGGGCAGCAGCCTGGCTCCCGTGGCCAGTGAAAGCAGTGCTCCAGGGGGGAGCCCACCTCCTTGCTTGGGGAACGCGTCCCTGGTCTTTGAAAAAAAAAAAACCCTCGGGATCAGAACAAACATTTGAGTCTTGTTTCCATCACGGATGAGGCATTTCAGACCCCAGATTAGCCACTGCGATGTATTGCTGCCCATAAGGAAAGGACCAAGCGTGACATCTGCTCTGCAGCAGCCATCTGCCCCCCGAAAGTGAAGTGTGGGGGCCTGCGGGCAGAGCCAAGGCTCTCACTCCCTGAGCGAGGTGGGAGCCAAGGAGTTCGCAGTAACGAACACCCGCTCGTCCCCATCTCCCCCAAGTCACCAAGCACAGGCTAAAGGGGGCGAGCGCCCAGTAAAACAGTGGCTTTTGAAAATGGGTGTCAGTAAGAAAGTATATCAGTGAATCTACACAACGCAGATAATTAGAGTCTCGTGGCTGATGGTTTTGGATCCAAAACATCCAGTCTTCATCCACAGCCACCCTACATGTGTCTTGGCAAGCTGTTTTTCTCATGGGGGAAGCAGGGCAGTGAAAGGGGCCCTTGCTGGCCCCCCGGGCAGGCTGCCCCGCTCCTCTGACACTCCAGGAGGGGTGAACCGGTCATTTTGACCAACGTGAGCACAAAACCAACTCAGTTCATCAGTCCGGTGAGGGGAAGAGCTTCCTTTGGTGCAGCGGTCTACGTCGAGTCTCCTTCCCCACTCCATCGGGATTAACCCCCAGCAGCTGCCTGGGGCGCAGCGCTGCTGGGTGGCTGCTGCTGCCGGAGCCCCAAGAGCCAGCTTGCCCCGGAGTCACTTTGGCGCTGGTGACCAGCTTAATTCCCCGGCACGCTTGGCTGAGCATTCCCCACCCCCTTGCAACTGCCTCCTATTCCAGGAAGGAGCGCAGAAGCTTTTGCCTCACTTTTCACATAGCTTTCAACAGCTCCAATGTCATTGCCTAGGCGACCGGGACGCTACTTGATTGTAGTGCAGTAAATAACATAGATCCTCAATCCCAGGCCGCTCCTGTCCGCGGGAGACCTCCGAGGGAACTCGAAACGCTTGGGGAGCCAAAGCAGGTAGGAGGAAAAAAATGATAAAAGGAAACCCCTTGCTATTTGTGTGTGTGAGTTACTCAGCACGACCCTTTTTCAACTGCTTGATAACGCAGCTGGAAGATGATTTGCAGCCGCTTTGCTTTGTAGGCTAGTTACACAATATGAAATGTCTTGGAAAGTTTGCTCCCAAATGCCTTAGATCCAGAGTTAAAGCACTTTTGGAGGAAAAACCAGCCAAGCCTTGAATGGGAAAAGCAGCAGTGGGGCTGAGTACCAGCAGGATGCTGAGGCTGGCTGCCCGCCGCCGGGTGCCCAGGCAGGGCTGAGGCTCGGCTGCCAGGGAGGGAGGGAGAGTTGGATGTTTTAACCTCCTGCTCCATCACGAGCTGCCTGCCGACAACTCTATCCATCAGAGAGGATTTCTGTCGAACCTGCCTGCTCCTCGGAAAGAAAATTGTTAATAAGCTGCTGGACCCCAAGGAGGGTTCCTGAGATTCAAGTGCGTTGCAGGAGAGCTCGCTTGCTCTCGGTCGCTTTTACAAGCCTTGGATTGCAGGTGCAAATTTAATAATCTGGGCCAAATGAGCAGTAACACAGGGTAGTGTTGGCACCTTGGGACCCATCAATATTTTGCAAACATTATTTGCAGCGGGCTGGATGAGCCTGAGGGTTCTCACTGTGCAGAGGAGAGAAGGTCCAGGGGCCAGTTCACAAGCCATCAAGCAATACACAGCAGCTTGATCTGAGAGTTGGAAATGGCTCTCAAAAGTCTTCCTCTCTGAGGATGGGCAGGGTCTTTAGGAATTCGGAATAGCTCTGTTATACAAGTTTTGTGCATTTATCTCTTTTTAAGGTGGCTGCAAAATGTTGTCACATTTCATTCTGAGTTGTTAGAGCAGCAGGATAGCAGTGAATAAGTTATGGCTAGGTGAAATAGCAGTGGATGTTTATAGGTGCCTAAAACTTAAAGTTTAAGCCTAAATGGCTTAAAGTTAATGGTGAGATCAAAGATGCTCTTTCTAGAGAGTGTAGAAACTCAGCTGCCAGGCATCACTCAACAAGGCTTCAGCCCCCTCGTTATGCCTGCGGTACCCTTCAACTTCCTTATATTAATGAAAAAAGGAAGTTGAGTTTATAATAACTCTAAGAATATATTCAGACTCTGTGGTCAAAATACAAACTGCGGGCTGAATGAAGCACGGTTGAATATATACAAGTTCATCTGCTCTGCTTCTCCAGAGAGTTGTTCTTCCATCTCAGATGGCTATAGCAGACTTCGGTGTGTGTTTTCATTCTCCTGTGTCCTCGGGGCTGCTTGGGCTGAGCTGGGGCTGACTTGGCGTTTCGAATATAGCCAAAGTCACAGCAGTGGGGAAAAGGCTGAGGACACTGAGTATTTCTAGACTAACCCTTTGGAAATCACTGCAGTGGCAATTCACAGCAAAGGTGTGTGGACAGAAGGAACTGGCCCCTGGAAGGACAGAGCCGGCTCCCGCAGCCCTGGGGGTGTGGCAGCCCCCACCCCAGTGCTGAGCCAGCAGTGGGCTGAGCTGAGCCCCAGCGCAAGTGAAGGTGGAGGACTGCCTCTTTGCAGGCTTCATCTCAGTACTCCCAGCCCGTTTTTCCCCTGTGCAGTTTCCCTGCAATGCCCTGACTAGCAACAGAGGGAAGCAGCAATCCAGCAAACAGTGGAGCCGGCTTGGGGAAGCCAGCGGAGAGCAGCTCTCCCAAGTGAAAATGGGCAAATCACGCCTGCAGCCTCCTGCAGCCTTGGCTCCCAGCACCAAACCCCCTGGTTTGCACATTTTGGTCTTTCTTCCTCTAGAAGCCTGTGATAAATCCAGTGTACGTCCTGTCACAGGCTCCCCGAGCAGCCCCTGTGCCAGCCATGCAGAGCATCCTCCAGCTCACCTCCTCCCTGCTGCGTCGAGGCAGAAGGGACGGACCCCCTGCTGCACCCTTCCCCGGGCAAAGAGATCTTCAGTTTAACAAGCTGGTTTGGATCTCGGGAGGTGTTAAACACTGGTAGAAGTTGGGGTGATACAAAGGGCTTTTCCTTTGGTGCCGGGATGCAGGTGACATCAGAGAGCTGACACAGTTACGGCAGAGGTGAAATAGCCTCCAAAGAGACCTGGGGGCTGGATGTGACCGAGAAGCTGAGCCTGGGCTCTGGCTGATCTTGAGCTCTGCCACTGCTGATGTTAGTCATTTCCCAGTGCCATTCAGCTAGCCTGGAGGCACTGAGAAGGTAGTTACAGCCCAGTCATCTTGTAATGCTTCTCTAGAATTAGTCTCTAAGGCTCTTCCTAGTTCACCTTTAATTTAGCTGTGCCACAGGGCCTCCACTGCTTCCCATGGGGTGTCTTTTCCATCTGCTGGACCTCACCATTATAGTGCTTTCCCAATTTCCCTGCATGTGAATGCTTCCACCGTTGGTTGCATAATGGGACTCTAAATGGCATCTCCTTTTAGAGTAAATTACAGTGTCATTGGCACCACTGCCAGCCTCTGGGAGCCCTGTTTGCAAGATCTTTTGTGATTCTTTGTCATCTTAGATGCCTGCTGTCAGGCTGTCATTCTTGCTGCAGAGATTCTTTCCCAAGATGTGCAACGATCACTGCAGCAGGGATGTGCATTAACAGTGCTGCCAGCCAGAGCTTCTCTTTGTACAGCAGAGTTTAGAGCTCAAAGGTGAGAAGATACTGGCCTGGCTTTGCGAGCACCAATTGTGCTTTGAAAGAGAAAGGGAACTTCCAAAACGCCCTTAAAATATTCAGATTTTTTTCCTTTCGAAAATGAGTGCAGCCACGTGGTTAGAGCTGGTGTCACCCATCATGACCACACAGCTGGGGCGGCGCGGAGGTACTCTCTGCACCGAAGGGAAAGGCCTGGCTCCTTCCTGAAGCTGCCGCTGCCCTGGGCCGGGGAAAGCAGCAGAGAAGCAGGGTAAGGCCACCAGCAGTCATCTGCCTCAGCTCTAGGCTTTTCCTTTTCTCAAAGCTGCGCATAGGTCCGTTCATTTCTCTGTGTGTCATGTGTGGGACGAGGAGGGACAGGAGGACAGCAGACCGTCACTGCTAGCTGTTCTGTGATGAGCCCCATGGGGAATGAGCCCTCCTCCACTGTGGCAAACCCTCCTGGAAGAACGCGGATGCCGTGTCTCTCGGATGCAGCAGGAAGCAGCCCACGGGGTCAGCTGTGGGGGGGACACCACGATGCTTTCATTATAACTCCTGACCCCTGCAGCCACCCCGTCCCCAGCTGAATCAGAGGGGCCCGGGTGACCCTGAGCATCACTCAGTTAGAAAGTGGCTGCCCTCGTGCTCGGCAGCTCGAGCCCCAGAAGCAGGAAGTTTTCAGGCTTTCACTATTAGATGTCGGTACTGAGTTGAAATGAGATGCTAACGCTGGCATGGGTTCAAAGGAGTAGCCCGGGTGGTGCCCGGGACATGACCGTGTCAGCCAGGGCAGGGGAGTGGTCCCACTGCTTCCAGGGAGCGGGTGAGCGAGGAGGAGGCCGATCCCATGGCAGGGCTGCCAGCAGAGGAAGGCAGCACGGGGCTCAAGATGGCTCCGCAAAATCTGCCGCTCCTGCTGCTGGGGCCAGAGAGGTGCTGGGCATAGAGGGAGAGCCGAGGGACGCTGCGTGCTTCCTTCCACGCTTGAAGGAGGCCAAGAAACCTTGTCCCAGGGCAAAAGGAACGGGCGGGATTGCGGATGACTCTGGTTATGCCTGAGCAGTAGGGTTCAGCTGGCTTTGGTTGAAGAATTGGCTTTCCCACAGCCTTCCCGTAAACAGCATGCTTTATTCCAGTAAAACTTCCCTGTCTGCAAAGCAGAGGCAACATTCCTGCCTTGAGTTACTTGGGGGGCATAATATTCCATTCAGTAATCTTTGCAAGCTGCTTAGAAGTGGGAAGGTCATTTTAATGTCTGAACAAGTAATATTTAGGATATCTGCATGGTGGCTTCACTGTAAACTTGCACTATGCATCTGGATCTCTTACCTGTCTTTGTGCCTTTGTGGATTTGTGGGCATTTGCAACTAGAGCTTCCTGAGAAAAATATGTTAGCCTGTCGGCAAATGATATTCCTGGGATAAAAGCTGCCCTGTGCCTAAAATGGACAAGCCAGGATGCGGGCTGAAGGGCTAGATCAAAATAGAGCACAGGCAGACTTCTTTTCAAGATAAGTGGCCACTGGCTGCTGGGGGACACCTCAGCTCCTGCCAGTGCTGAGAGCTCTGCAATCCCACTTTCCTGGCATGCCGTGCTCAGAGCTGGTGGCTGCAACAAGGGTGCCTTCAGCTCTGATTCTTGCTGCAAGATTATTTTTTTCTGCCAGCTAGCTTGGGGTTTCAGTTTGATTCAGAGACCTGATACTCGAGAGTTTGGTATCGCTGTGTCTAACCAGAGAGTCTAAGCTTTTTGCTGAATGAAGCTGGTCCAAAGTGGCTACTAAGAACAGCTGTGCAGAGCGGGGGAGCTGTTTGTAGTCATGCTGAAGCACGCTGTAAACATCTTAAATGGGAGCCTTGAGCCACAGGATCAACGCTTAGCAGAAACAGGCTGACAACCCAACACCCTGCTGCTTTGGCCCTTTCCAAAACACCCACATATTTGTAAGCACGCTGGCCCGTGGCGTCATCACCAGAAATACCACCCCGACAGGAAAGCTTCTGGGTTTTTTTTGTTATCTGCAGTGAAGGTGCTTCCAGCCGCCTCCTGTCCTGTGCAAGCCGTCTTTGGGTGCAGCAGGCTGCAGGGCGGGCTGAGCTCGGGTCGCCCCTCCAGCACGCCGCTCCTTGCCTGCAGCCCGCCGGGGGGTGAGGGGCTCCATCTCCCCACAATGTGCCCGTTGGGACTCCGGTCCCTGCTGGGAGGGCGGTGGGAAACTCGTGCCCTTGGCCGGGTGCTTTGCCGAGGTGAGATGGCCCCCTGGCAACGCTAACCTCGCTGTTTCTCTTTGCCCCTAGAGTGATTTATCCTTTGTCAGACACCCCGTCTGTGAAGATGTCCCAGTCATCTCCAGCTGATGAAGGCACAACGTTTGAGCACCTCTGGAGCACGCTGTAAGTGGTGGTTGATATTTGCCTTGAGGGGTATTCTGGGGCAGAGGTGGCCCTTTGCTCTGTAATCTGTGTTAGCACACATCATTACTGTGGCCTGAAGGGAGACAAGTTTCTTTTGCACACTCCAGTTTTCACATATTCCTTTTCCACGTTGAGGACTTTGCTTCCAGACTCCCATTTCTTTGCTCAGACCATTTCATTTGCCAAACCCCTTTACCCTGGTGATGCTAGGCAGTTGGGGTGTGCGTATCCTGAAAGTAGAGCCCCACAGACCTTGTTTCCAGGTATGGGATGCTGATTCTGAAAAGGGTTGTGAAGCCGCCAGCGTTTTCGGTGTACAGGGTGAATGCAAAGGCGGGAGAGCTGCAGAGTGCGGCACAGCATTCCCACAGCACGGCTGCCCTCGTGCGCGTCGCAAGGCTGAGTACCGCTCCCCTGGCTGGTTTTCCTGACCCGTGGCCCCTCGAGCTGGCGTTGGTACATGACACTGTCTGTCTCATGTGCAGGGCCACATGGAGATGGTGTCAGGGCTGGAGCAAGTGTCCCCATATGGCTGGAACACTTGCCTGGAGTGTGGCAGGGGACACTGGTTCCAAGCCTGGGAGGATGAGCTCTTACTCCTCAGTCTTCACTCATGAGGTCATGAGGCTTGGTGGCTGCCTAATTAAAATGGATATTTTCTAAAATTAAAAGTCTTCTAGTTTTTTTTGCAAGTCTTCTGGCCTCTGAGGCTCACACTCTAATCAGGCAAGGAAGGAGTGTGCTTCATTTCATCCTCCTTCCTTGGTATCCTCTCACTTAAGGCCATCCCGAGGTGACAGATACACTAGAGCAGCTGGGTGGATGAAAAACTTCCCATCTCTGCTTGCTTTACCTGCCAGGCAAGTTTGCCTGAGCAAAGCCTGCTCTGCCATGTGAAAATAAAAGCAGAGGATGGAGTAAGAAGTTGAGAAGGGGACAAGATTCAAGGGAATCGCAAGTTGCTGGGCAGTGGTGGTGCAGGCTGTGCCGGGGAGCTGGAAGGCTGACTGTGCCATCACCTTTTCCACAGGGAGCCCGACAGCACCTACTTCGACCTCCCCCCATCCAACCACACAGGCAGCAATGAGGTCTCCAACCGCACAGAGGTCACGATGGACGTCTTCCAGATGAGGAGCATGAACGACTCGGTCATGGTGAGTGTGCTCAGACTGCACAAACGGGAGCCACGTCAAACACAAACTCACTTTCCCTGTGGTGCGTTGGGGGCTCTGGGGTTGGAAGTGGGGTGCTTGCTGATTCACAAACCGAACACAAATGCTACAGGTGCAGCGCTGCTGCCAGTTGTGCAGGGGCTGATAGCCTGTGATCGATGACTGCGCTGCAGGATTGCGGCCGGCTGGTACAGGGGTCAGTAAATTAGTGGCTACTTACTAGTAGATAACATTGCTGCATGCAGCAGCAGAGGCTCTGTGCTGTAACGGCGGTGAAGCTCGAGTTCCTTGACAGGAGGGGAGTATCATTTGCTCTGGTATAAAAATGCTGTGTAGTAAAAGCTGTTTTTAAGGTGCTGGCGAGGCAGAGCTGCTGGAGGGGCATGTCGAGCTGCCAGCGCTCAGCTCTGCTCCCACCACATTCCCCGAGGGTCCGTGCCCTTCCCTCCAGGAAGCTGGTGCGTCTCCATCTAAGGCAAAGGGTTTGAAAAGCATAGTGGGCATGTGAGATGTCTGGGTCGCTTGTGCACATTCAGTGCCCCGAGCAGGGTGGCCTCCCAGGAGCATCCCTGAAGCAGCTCTGGCCGTTGGCAGCATCTCCCTCCAGAAAGCCGCCGTTTCCCTCCTCACCAGCTTGCATCCCCTCCCCCAGCCCCTTTTTCCCTCGCTTTTCCCTCGCTTTCCCTCCCTTCCCCGGCCTTTGTCTGCAGCGGGCAGGAGCCTGGCAGAGGGATCAGGCAGGGGCGGTGGTGCTAATTGGGGAGCTGCCCCTTGCTGAGCTCGCCATCTCTTTTCTTCTTGTTCCCGCTGTAACCGAAGCAGAGCCCGGTGGGAGTCGGTGCAGCTCGGGGGGCTGGCAGGGCCGGGCGAGCCCTGGGCTTGCAGGGCTCTGAGCCCAGCGGCTGCGCACGGGCAGGACAGAGCCGGCTCCTGCCCCTTCCTCGGCATAATGAGCCGGTAGTAAATATTGACATTGGCCCGATCGTGCAACCGGGCGCTGTGCGGCTGAGCTCCCAGGGAGCCACGGCCAGCTCCGCCAGACACCGAGACGCGTGGCATACGCGAGAATAAATGCACAGACAACGTGATGCCACCGGCCTGAAAGCAAGGCGGGAGACAGGAGCCACAGCGGAGGGGCCGCTCCGTGTGTGCCGTGGTGCCTGTGGCTCACGGGGCTCAGCAGAGCTGGAGCAGACGTGCGGAGGCTCAGAGCCAGCGCCGGTGCTGATGCTCAGGGGCTGCGAGCAGGCCACCCAAACGCTCTGTGACCTGCCGTCTGGTCAGGCACAATGCTCTGCATTGGCACTGCGCTGCTCCTACAGACCTGTTTCAGTTCCCTGGTGGGAGGAGTGGCTGTAATTAAAGATGTGAACAATTCCTCAGCCGCCCTTTTCGCTTAGTGACGGCAGCTTCAGGACTGGTAGCTTGTGCGGTGTTTTAGGCTTTACGTACAACAGTGCCACTGACCTGCTTGTGTGTGGGTCTATCCATCTAGATATCTAGCCATATCTGCCCGTCTGGATATCTGTCTAGCCATCTGTCCCTATCTATGCCTATCCATGCCTATCCGTCCCTACCTATCCATCTAAATATCCATCTATCCACAGCTATCCATCTAGATAGGGATAACTCCATATCTCTGGGATATGAAGCTGTCTCAGAGTCACTGCATCGTCAGGTCGGTGCGAGTGCAGCCACCTCACTCTGCTGGAAAAGGGAGCCGGCCAAATGGGTTTCCAGACCAGCACGGCTGCAAGCAGCTTTCTGGAGTAGAATCGAGCCGGGTTTGATGATGGAGCTGGACCCCCGCTCTCCCTGCAGTGGGAATGGTTGGTATCGCCCAGTCCATCACTGGGCAAGCTGGGGCCTGCCCTGTGCATTAATGAATAGTCATGAGGGACAGAAGGGGTGGGCCCCGTTTTGTTGTTGGATGCAGCGAGTTGACAGAACTAAGGGAGATGAAAAAAGCAAAAAAACCAACACACGGTGGCACACGGGTGGCCGGCGCAGCATCCCTGGCGCTGCCCGCCCCGGCCCTGCTCCCGCGCTCCCTCATTCCTCCTGCCTTCCTACCTGGCCGTCCCCGCCACCGCCCCGACCCCATGACTCCCGTGGCGGGACGCTTCCCAGCACCCTGTGAACCCCGAGACAACTAAAATGCTGTACATTAGCGACCCGATGCAGCATTATACCACGGTAGGTGCTTCTTGTTATTTAACGGGTTTTGCCTTGCTGCTTTTATTTGAAATCGTCCTCCGCCGGCGCGGCAGGAGCTGGGCACCTGCCCCGGCTCTGCCTGCTGAGCCTTGGTGCCCGCCGCTGCCTGGGACGTGCCAGGGGCTTGTCGTGGTGCAAGCCTTTTCCTGTCCCATGGCTGCACCGAGGAGCTGAGGCTGCTGCAGCCCCGGTCATGACCGATGAGCTGTGTCAGTGGGAGATGCTGCAGCCTCGGCGGCTCGGTGGGCATTCCTCTCCTGCTTTGCCTGAGCTAGTGCTCACAGAGCCCAAGGTGCAATTTAATTAGTGCCAAGGGGTGCAGGCTCCCTCACCCGCGGGTGTGCAGATGGAGGGGTGTTACCTGTCCAAAGAATGGCCGGAGGTTCTGGGCACCACCAGCACCAGTTGGTTGTCCACTGGGGTCAGCTGAGCTCATGGCAGGTACCCGTGGCCCCAGGCAGGCTTTTTGTCCCTGGTTTAAAGACTCTGGGAGGGTTCAGCAGATGAAACCGTACCTGCACTGCGGGTGATACATTTTCAGCCCTGTCTTCAAGCGCTGCAGTTGCTTTCTTAGTCAAAAGAGGTTTGTGTCTGCTCTCTGGCATTCAGGAGGGTTAGATACAGGCATAGATGCAGCAGAGAGACAAAGGTACAGTGCTGCACTTCCCAACCAGAAATTACTTAATTCCTCTTTTTTGTCTTACATGTGTTAGTATAAAGCACATATGGACCAGGTTCGGTTTGTGCTGTAGTGCTGTTACTTGGGAGGTCGTTGCTGCAGTCATGTGAATATTTATGTATGTGTGTGTATAAACATATGTGTGTGTGTCTATATATATATTTACAGACATACACACACAAGCTGTGTTGGGTTTGCTGACACACATACACACACAAACACTCAAGACTTCAATTTGTTTTTTAAGGAAATGTTTACAAAGTTAAGTTACTTTCGAAATCCAAGTTGGTCGTTTTTTCCCTGCACCTGACTTTGGCTATCTCTGCCAGTGGCTTTGTAAAGCCCTGGGACTCGGGGCACTGCCTCTTGCTTTGTGCTGGCAGGGGACCCCTGCTCGGGGCAGCCAGCCTGGCTTGCAGAGATGACACTCTGAGTCTTGCATCTCCTTCATGTGTGCAGAGCTCACTGTTTTTCCTGAGGGAAGGCTGTGTCTCATGCAGAGGTCAGGATGGACCTCAGTGGCTCCATTCCAATTTACCTGCCTGATAAGCTTTGTAGCCACAGGCTTCAGCTGCTCACAGTCCTGGCTCTAAGCATCACAAACTCACAAAATCACGCAGGGGTGACTTTTGTGGAGTTTTTTTCTGGCCACTTGAAAGGGCCACCTCACCCCTAGCCTGCCCTGCAGCTCCCGAGCTCATGGCTCACCAGCAGCAGATATTGCCGGGAGGCGAAAGGCTTCCCAGTTATCTCCAGTTTCGGCAGGAGATGAGCCACCATGGCAGCACACGTGCTGTGCTGTGCCGGGCGGTCCAGACGTAGCCTGCTTTTCCTGAGTACACGTATGTGTGCGAGGGCAGCACTGAAGATCACCTTGCCTGCTCGCCGAATGCAGAGCATTTACTCTCCATTCATTCCTAAAAAAGGCAGGTGGCTGGGCCCAGGGCATGTGTGCAGCCTGTGTCCAGTGTCCCAGGAGAAGAAAACAGCTCAGTTGTGATACTCCTGGATTATTTGGGCTGCGGATCAGCCCTGAAAAGCAGTAATCCCTTTTCCCCTTGCCACTCTCCTCCTGGTCGATGCCTGAGCTTTGCTTTTCACGGGTGAGTAGTGCTGCATGCCTTCCCGGCCAGTGTCACTGGCCACCAAGGCTTCCCTGCCCTGCAGTCCCCGCCAGCAGCTGCCTGCAGCTGGCAATTTCCCAGCTGGATGGCCAGGGCTTCCCACGTGCATTTTTAATGCCCATTTCACTGAAGTTTCTCCTAACTTTCTCTCCAGGTGAAGCCTGGGATTGTGGAAAGCTTGGGTGGGGGTGGTTTGTCTTTGGCTGGGCTATTTATAGAGTGGCAAAAAGGAATAGAGGGGTTTACGCACATATTTTAGGGGAGAAAATGGCTGTATGTGTAAAAGCAAGCCAGATCTTGTTCAGCATTCCTCCAGTTAGTCACAGGCTCCAACGACCTTGCGAGAGATGCAGACAACAGGAGAACTTTCCTGGAGAAGGATGATTGCCTTTAAACCATTATACATCGTAGACGTTTGGGTGAGGTTGGGATCCCAAGTTAAAACACGTCTCTTGATTCCTAAGCCGTGAGCCTTGCAGCCCTTCAGAGGAGAAGGCAGATGGCTGAGCCTGCTGGGCTGAGGGACGGTGACGGCCGCCTGCCAGTCGCCCTTGGTTTCCCAGTGCTGCCCCAACTGGTGCTGGTGGCTGGAGGGACGGTCCCCGCCAGGCACAGGGACGGAGGGGGCTGGAGCTGGGGGCAGGGGGGAGTGCAGGCGGGTGGCCCCGTTCCTCCTCCGACTCTGGGTGCTGCGGGGAGCCGGGACGACAGCGCGGAGGCCGCTGCACGTGGTCACCGGCGGAGCCCGGGCAGCCACTGGCAGCACCCGCCTTGCTGGTTTGCAAGTGCTGGGAGAGCAGCCCTTGAGCAAGTGGGGAATTGCGGATTTCGGGGAGAAAAACATCCTATTTACTTTGAGAAACAGCTACAATTTGGGCATTTTTTTTTTTAAATAATTTTATTTCTCTACCATGGAAAAAATTAATCTTGGGGGTCTGATTTCCAGATGAAAGATTAAGGCCGCTTCAGCCTGTGGCTTTTGAGAACGTAGCTTTGCCTAGTCTATGCTTGCAGGTAAAAGTGCTGCCAGCTCTAACTGCAAGTATCTGACAGTAATTGTTCAGAAGAGGAATAAGAAAAAGAATTGTAAAAAGTCAGGATTTGGTCCAGCATGTCTGGATCAAGAGCCAGTACGTGCATAAGTAGGTATGTTTGCTCTCTGAGCTTAGTTCAGCGCGCTGCATCGCAGCTAGACGCTTTGTAGGTTTGAGGTTTTCCCCAAATTAGACCTGCATCAGCGAAAGCCACTGAAAGCAAACATCCCGGCTAGGAAATGAATTACACAAACCACCATTGAGGGCTGGCTCTTCTTAGAGAAACACTTCCAGAAGTGCTGTGCATGTGTACGTTCATGACAAGCAAATGCGTGCAGGAGATGTCGGGAAAACAGGTCGGATGTTGAGTGATGGAGTCGCAATGGGAGCGATGCCTTCATCGGCGGGCTGCATGCTGGGGCAGCTTCCCCTGCCCTCGATGCTCTGGCCGCTGGAAAAGACACTGTCGAGCAGGGCCACCCCCCCCAGTCCCGTCCCGTCCTGCAGAGGGACATCCCCCACACCTGAGCAAACCCTGGAAAATCCCTGCCCGGCGTCCCGAGTGGCTTTGCATAGGCAGGTGCGCTGGAAATCCAGGGATCTCAGCACCTCGCTGCCTCCCGTGAGCACGGAGCGGACGGACGGCGGTGACTGGAGCCAATTGAGTTTATCCCTTGCACAAGTGGTGACCTGCTCCAAAACCCACGCCGCCCCGGCCAGCTCTTTCGCTGCCTTTCCCGCACACTGGCCCTTTAAGGAGGCTGTAACAGGACACCTGGAGCCCTGGAGAAGTGTGGCTGAGGTTTCCATGTCTCTAAACTGGCTGGTGTTTTCTTTTTTCCCTCCTCCCCTTTTCCCTTCCTCCAGTCCCAGTTCAATTTGCTGAACAACAGCATGGATCAGAGCATCGGCAGCAGAGCAGCCTCCACCAGCCCCTACAGCTCCGAGCACACCTCCAATGTCCCAACGCATTCGCCCTACTCGCAGCCCAGCTCTACCTTCGACGCCATGTCCCCTGCGCCCGTCATCCCCTCCAACACTGACTACCCTGGTCCCCACCACTTCGAGGTGACCTTCCAGCAATCCAGCACCGCCAAGTCAGCCACCTGGACCGTAAGTTGCATGTCTCCTTGCCTTTCTAGAGAGCTGCTTGCTACCACCGACAGCGTTTTCGGCTGGCCAGCTGCAAACACCCGAATGCCTCGGTGGTGATTTGCAGTGGGACGCAGAGGGCACGCTCGCACGGGGTGGCTGCAGGACGCAGCCACCACCCGACAGGGACTTTGCCTGCACAGGTGGCCCTGGAGAGCAAAACATGCAGGAAACGTCAAGTGCGTGCTTTTCAGGGATTTTCTCCAAAAGGGCTGTTAAGCACAGAGGTTTGAATGTAAATTCTCTCGCAGCAGTTCCCTAAACTGCAGGTAAATGTCCCCAAAAATCACGAAGCTGGATAAATGCCCTGGGGAAGTACCTGCCTTGTTCTCGTGGCGCTTCCCTGCACATTTGCCAGCGACCGCTGTCAGAGGCGAGGCAGTGGGCGAGACAGACCTTTGCTTATATCTACTGGGGCCATTCTCAGCTTTGCTGTAAGCTCTTGCTTGTCATTTGCAAGCCTTTTTCATCGCGTGTCAGAAGAGTAACTTAATCTCGAGAAGTCAGTGCAAAATAACAGAGTAGGTTTTTAATCACAGCGGGATCGCAGCACAGCATCTTGCCCCCTGCGACGTGGGCGCAGCAGCCTGGTCCTCAGGAGCAGAGATGCAGGTTTGCTCCACTGCCAGGCTGATCGCACGCCTGCAGCCCGGCAGAGGAATCCTCCGCACATCAGGGACCCAGGAACCGGGCAGAGCGTACGAGGGCTGCTTTGGTTTTTGTGGCAAAAGGTCCTAAGTTCACATTCTGGCTCCTGGCTTAGTGTAGCACTGTCCCTGGTTTTTAGCAGAAACGGCACTTGCGACCGGTGTCAGAGGCATTTCTGCAGCGGTTGCCTCCCTGAGCACCAGGGAGAGCTGCTCACTGGCACGCTGGAGGCAGGCGGGTTTTCTCCTCTGGGAAACGTTAACAGAGCAGAAAGGTTGGGGTGACACAGCTGACCCAATGAGAGAGCAACAGGGTTTCCTCCAGGGATGCGGTTTGATATTATCATGAAATGGGCAGAGCAGACCAGGAGCGATATATCAGCCTGAGGTGTGATAATGACTTTTAGTTTTGGAAGCTGATGTGTTTAATTGCCAAGGCAGTCCTTCCCGCGGCAGACAGGAGTGTCTCTGGATGCTTTCGTGCAGGCAGACCCCGGGCTGTGGCTGCTCCCGTGTGTCGTGGCAAGAGGGGGCAGGAGGGGCCGGGCCACAGCAGCTGCCGCAGCGCCGGCTCTGTCTGTCCTGCAAAAACCAACGGGCAGGTGGAGTGGGCAAACCAGCAGCAAGCTGGCAGCGAGCTGGCAATCGAATACAGCCAAATCCATGGCTGGGGCAGTGGAGCAGCTTCCCTGTGTCCGGTCACCAGAGCTCCACGGCTTCACTGCTGAGTCGCGCTGACCAGGGGCTTGGGACCAGCACCGTGATTAAACGTGACTTGCCCTCGTAGGAGCCATCAGTCTTCACTCTTTTCTACTGCCTTCCCTTGCAAGGTGTTGCTAAAGGATGCGTTTCATTATGTTTTGAATAAACTGAAGGTCCTCAGAGTAGGATGTGGCTCCAGCCCAATCCCATCCCTGTTGGGGGATAACTCATATCAGTTAAAAGTAAAGCTGCACAGGACCTGCACAGGGAAAGGAGGCATTCCCATGCCACAAAAGCATCCAAATGGAAACTGAACCCACACTGATGCAGGGTATCTGTCCCAGCTGTCCTGGTGTGGAGGGAGGAGGACTGGAATGTGTCCAGTGCTCACTCAGCACTGTCCCAGCTAGCAGTGCCACGGGGATGGCTCTGGGATGGAGCAGACAGCCACGGGCAGGGCTGGGCTGGGTGCTGCAGGACACCCTTGGACACTGCAGGCAGGAGGGACTCAGGCACCTCAACAGACAGAGAGAGCACCTACTAAAGATCCGCCCCGTGCTCAGTTTAATTAGCAGTAAGGAAATACTCTTCCCTTGTCCCTGACGATGCATGTTGCAGCTGCAGGGAGTAAATTGAAAAAGCCACTCAAGTCTTTTTGGCCAATTGTCCTCAGAAGAGCAGAGGGAGCAGCAAGAGGCTCCTTGAGGGAGTCCCACGTGGCGAGGGAGCCTGTGACAGCCCCCTTCCCTCGCTGGAGCCATCCCAGCCACGTGGGATCTTTCCAAACCTCAAACTATACCGAGCCCTGACTGTCTCAGCATCACCCCATGCTGGCTGTGCTCCTGTAGCTGTCCTGTCCTACTGCGAGCTATGCTAACCAGGATGGGATTGCTTTTTTCCTCAAGCCTCTGTGTTAAGGTCTCCTTTGTACGTTGGAGCAGCCAGTGCCACATGGATGCTGCGAGAGCCTCGGGGGAGCAGCTGGACTTGAGAGATGCCCAGTGAACGTGCCACGGGCGGCTGTAAGCACCTGCAGAGGATGCGCCCGCCGGCCAGGTCAGGGAGCTGAGGCTGCTGAGTGCCCGGCTGCAAGGGGGGGTCTCCTGGAAAGTGGTCCAGAGCGGAGGAGTAAAATGCCTGAACTGGCTTTAATAGTTGTCAAGGCAGTCAGTGAGGTGTGCGGCCCTCTGAGCCGCCGCGCTGGGGTGATGGTGCATCCATCTCCCGCAAGCAGGCTGGCTGCAGGGCCAGCACCAGCCGGCCCACGTTTCACTGCGCTGAAGCTGGGTCTCACGGAGAACAGAAGTGGGTCAGCAGCATCTTGAGCCCTGGAGAACGCGGGGGGCATTTCATTTGAAATAGTAATTTCTGCAGGACTGCCAATGTGGGTGCAGACTGTCCAGCTTGCTGAGGTTGCCACATGAAGAATGGTCCTGCTGTGGTGACAGCCAGATTCCCTCCATGTCCTCCTGGTTGACAACTGTCACAGCCACGCAGCAGCACCTTTTGTGATGGAAGACGGGGCTGCTGCCTTCTTCCCACTTGCTTTGAGCTCTGCATTGGCACTGCCGCACTTGGGAGTCTGTCCTGGTTAAACAGGGAAAGGAATTCAGCAAAAAGCTATACGTTGTACGTTGCCAGTCAGTCAATATACAAATAATGATGTATGTACACAGTGTGATTCTCTATGTGAGTGAATGTGTACGTAGCAGCGTACAAGAAAGCCTAGGAAAGCTGTCAGGAGCTGTAGGCACTTGGGAAGGAAAGTTAAATGTACAGTCAGCAGGGCTGGGGACAGTGACACCTGACAGCTCGGAGATGGTCCAGCCAAGGGTCGCTGAATTGACCTTCTCGGTGCGCTAAAGGACACGCACTGTTTGATTCAGCACCTTGAAAGAAACAGCACTGCTGATTCAGGCCGTAGCCGGGGAAGCCTCATGGCTTTTGAGCTCTTTAAGATTAACTGCACCAGCTAATTACCGCCAGGCCCGTTGCAAGCGTTGACCGTGAACTCGTCAGAGCCGCCATGCCAGCGCTGGGAGCAGCGCGGAGCCCTCCGCCCCGGGGGAAGGCTCTGCCGGAGTGGCAGCTCCGACAGCCTCCGGCAATCTGGGCTCGGACCACGGAGAATCCAGCCAAGGAGGAACCGGCAGCTGGTGCGCAGGCAATGCCAAACCAAATAGTTTGGTGCGAGTCGTCTTGTCAAAGGCTTTGGCATTGTTTTTCAGCACGATCATAAGCTTTGGTTGATGGAAGTGTGTAGCACAATAGGCTCCTATTTTTGAAAGGTTTTGACTGAATGCCTCTGGCTATTCCTCTGGGAGACTTGGCGTTATCCATTCTCCCGTGCTTAGGGAAGGAGGCTCCCAAGGAGCCCAGGGCTCGTGGCCAGAGACCGCTTGGAGACAAGCTGCCTGCACGGTGGGCTGGCTTGCTTACAGCGGCTGAGCATCACCCAGGCAGGGGAGCAAGGTACCACCGAGCCCACTGCCCTTGTGCACACACACAGTTCTCGTGTCCACACTTGAAACCGCTGCTGACAAAAACAGAGGAGGGAGAGATCCAAAGAAGATTAAAGATTTGGAACAGATGCCTTCTAGGGCAATACCAGAGAAACGTTCTGCATGAAAGGTCTCCACGAGAAGAGTAAGGGTGGCTTGATCGCAGTCTGCATGGGAGATGGTTTCTGATAGCAGACAGCTCTTTAATCTAATAGAAAAAGACATAATGAGAGCCAGTGCTTGGAAGCTGAAGCCAGGCAAATTCAGACTAGAAACAAGGTGGAAATTTTTTAACAGTGAGGATAATTAACCGTAGGAACAATTTACCAAGGAATGCGGTAGATTCTCCAACTCCTGAAGTATTCAAATGAAGAGTCTGCATATCTCTCGAAAGATAAGCTGCACTTCAAGCAGGCACCACTGGCTCAATGCAGAATGAGTAGGCTGGGGTCTTAGGGCAGCAGTGTAGGGAATCAAACCAGAGGATCATCACCTGTTCTCTCTAGCCTTAAAACGCTGAATTTCTAAATTTAGGAAATGGGTGAATGGAGAAGGGGTGAAGACTTGGGGCAGGGGTTTGGGGCTCGCGTTCCCAGCACCAGACCCGTCCTTGCAGAGGGGTGCTGGGCAGTGGGTGGGTGACGTTGGATGTCTCATCTCCCGGGCTGGGCTCCGCGCGCCGCACGTCGCCACAAACTCTGAACCGAAGCGACCGCTCCGCCTTCTGCTGCGGGAAGCCCTCCAGGCTGCCGCCGCCTCCCTTTTTCATTTTTAATGGCCTTCTTATCAGCAGAGAGCAATGGCCAGATGCTGAAAATAAGGTTTTCCCTGTAGGTTCAAAGCCCCCCTCTGGTAGGCTGCTTTGACGGGGCTGGGAGGACGACCGGGAGCTGCGGTGCTGCAAGACGGGGCATGCCGGCAGCCTGCCTGTTTGTTGGAAGCCATCAGGGCTCTCGGTTCCCCAGAGCTGCCCAAACATGCTAGAGCCGCCAGCCGATCTCGGCTGTTTTCTCACCAGCAGCCCCTCGCCACGCCGGCCAGCTGGTAACTGATAGATAATTAGTATTTTTCTCAAGTCAGGCTTGCGGCGGGTCGGTGCTTCCCTCTAAAA